TAATCATCACCATCCCTATCGTGTTCCTCTCTGTCCTTTGAAAGACACTTTTTCAATAGCTGTAGTAAGCTTATATAAGATGCTACCCCCTTAATAGTTTGATTTGATCGCATTTACAAGCTTAAATGCTAAATAAGGGCCACATAGAGCCGTTTTGAAGAGGGACAGTCATCCCCGGTGACGAATAGATCTGTTTTACTCGCATATTGATTTCCGCTGCACTGTAAGGATTCATGATTTGTTCCAATTTCTCTGTAATCTCTCATAAGTGAAACCATGTTGCTTGCAAACCATGTAATTCTTTTAATCGCTTCTGATAAAGCAAAATCAGTTTGTATTGATTTAGTATCTCGGTTGCGTTCAGCTTTCATAAATATGACACGTTCAAATTATACCTAGTCACCAGAGACTGTGACAATATTTAATTTAAAAAAACATCCGGGAGATAAGATTTACAATCTCAGCGCACCAGGACAATGACGACAGTGGTAAACACTAAGATGGTAATGATTGCGCCAAAAATTAATTTGAAGATACTCAGTTTAAGATAATTTAATTTGATCATTCCCATTCAAGCTTTCTGATGGCGCTATGCTCGATCTTTTTATAAATATCAAATCCTTACTTATTTATATTCGTTATCTGTTAAAACGCAGTCAAGTCATTAGAAAAAAGGACGTGTCTTAATTCAGCTTATAGATATATCTTATTCCTGTCATGTCTAAATACTTTATTCAAGGAGATTTTAGCATTAAAAATAAATGTGAATAGATGATGGGGATTGATTCTTATTTTATCTACTATAGAGAAGTTCTTGAGATGTATCCAAACAACCGTAGCAGAGAAAGGGCCAGAGAAAGGCCCACATCTCCGTGTTTAACTTCCTTGTGCCAAATGTACTTCTGGGACACGGCGAGATCTCCAAGGGATTGTGCAGAATCGTGTAGGATTGACTTGACTTTCGTTGGGCAGAATTTCATCGGTTTCAATTGGGCTTTAAACACAAGTTCCACAAGATAAACATGTACATAATTTGGGACTTGATGGGATTTCTAGGGACCTCACATTGCAAATAATATTAAAACAATGCTAAATAAAATCAGGCTTCGTAAGACACTTGATGGGATGTCACGGTCCACTTAAGACTTTACTTTGATACAGTAAGTACACCTTCTCATGGTAAACAAGAGTTTTGCGGTAATCAAACTGAATAGATTGAACCAGTGGCGTTCAGTCAAGTTTAAGACCTTGAATTGAATACAGTGGACCCAAAACTTGGGAAGTTAAGTAGAATAGACTGAGAAACAGTACATTATTCAATGTCTTCAATTCCCACATCATCAAAGGCAAACATTGACGATTAATGGCAAATATGCTCTCTATATTAAATCCGGGACGATAACGACCTTACCCCCATACTTTCAAATTGTTTTTGATCATATTGATAGAAATTGAATTCTTCTAAAGACGACAACCTCGTTTTGTTTTCAAATACTCTCCGAAATGGCTACAATTGGCAAGATAAATAGCATTAGCTAACTGGACAAGTACTTAAGCCATTAACTCTAAAAGTATCCGTAATTTTCTTACATTTAGCATAGATCTCTCAAATTATTTTCGTTTGAATAGGACTGATAAAACCACTAATTTCTTTAGTGCTTTATTGTGTTGATTTGAGGAATTCCATTAGTGTAGTATGTCCATGTGCTTTATCTTTGAAGGAACGCTTTGTATATGCAGATTATTTATGACAAATTGATGGACTGCGAAATTGTTGGGTGTTACACGTCCCCCTTCTTAGAAAATGAATTGTCACCGGAGAATACTAATGCACTGTAATATTACAGATCACTGAAGGTCGTTTTGGTCTTTGGACGAGTCTTGGTTACAGATAATTGATGGGATGTTCGTTGAAATGCTGTGAACGTGAAGATATGAAAAGATGGAATGAATGCTTATTGAATGCTGAACACTGTAAGTGGGATGAATGACCTAAACTGTAGTTTATGTTATCACAAATGGCTGTCGGAAGTAGTCAGTATTGTGTTGTCACTACAGTAATTCATTGAAAAAACTACTTCCCCGGTGAAAATTAAGGAATGAAGTAGTTCCAGATTATGGGACTATATCCCCGCATATTTGAAGAATGGTATTTTTAGAAAGTATTTGGCCTGAACTTGACATTACCCCACATAGTCATTTTATACATACTTGTTCTCGCAATATACACCATTGTTTTTTATGGCTTCGTTTTAACGAATCAAAAAAACACTACACAGAAGTGCCTAATTACCGTAGTGACACCATGAGGAGTATTTATACCTCATTGTATGTAAAATAAACTGTAAACGCCCCTCTCCCATCCTTGGTCCAAGGGTATTTTTTCTTCTTTCTGAATTGAGTAATAAATATAGTCCTTTGAATGGAGGATTCCCTCTGCGTCAGATGCCACTTTGGTTGAAGAGTATTTATAATGGGGATTGATTTCGCAAATACGATTACAATTCTTTGCTTTTCAAAGTTGCTCGAACATTTTTAAGTAATTGTTCATCGTTGACGCATTCTGTCTGGGACTCATTAATGGCAACCATTGGTGATGTAATTAACTGTAGTAAAGGTCATTTAGTCGTGGTACAATGATTGATGAGCATTTGGGACATCCCGTGTCTTACAAGGAGAAAACATTATAGACAAATCAGCAGCTTTGCTTTAAATGCTATGTTCTACCATATCTATAATTTTTGCCACTAGCCCGATTACTTCATTGCTCATGCTTATAGCTCATGTACTCGTGCCTTGCTCTGTCGTACATTTCTATGGTTATAATTATCCAGCATTATGATTTCAATGTTTCTTTATTTGTGCTCATTTTTACAATTGATAGAACGTCTTTATTGTGAAACGAATATCATAAATATGTTTACCTTGACAACAAAGCTGATTTCTTGAACTTACATTGTATCGGCCCCATTCATCTCCCAAAGACTCGTTAGGCCTAAAAGTGAGCATTCATTCATGAAACCTAGCTCTTCGTCTTAAGCCTTAAGGATCAACATGTATCCGTCTCGGTGACAATTATGGTTTTCAAAAGGTATCTTCATCATGTTCACGCGCAATTCAAAATGAATACATTGCTACTCTTGCTTTTATGCCGACACCATCGTCCCTTCCCACTGGGTCTGAGGTAGGAACAACTGACACTTTGTGAATTAAGACACACCAACACGGTAATTGGGATTAATTTTACTCACCTAGATTGTAAGTCTGGTTCAAGATATCCCCGGGAAATTTACAAGGACGAAAATGAGCCATTTTATATAATGATTAAAAAATAATACATAATTTTAGATATGATAAATGAACTTTTTTAGATGCAATTAATAAACAAATGAGGTACATTCGATAACTTGATGACACAACGATTAGCTGATTATATCAGTCAATATAATCCCCGTCCTTGTGACAATGAAAAATTTAACGAAAATGATCGGTCTCACTCGATTAGTCCATTACTTCCGTTCAATTTCAATAATGCAATCTCGATTAATGTTGAAGTCGGAGGACAAGAAGAGAGACAGACGAGGGGGAAGTGTGACAAATGATAGATCTATTTTCGTTACACTACGCCTCACTTGAGAAATTGCTTGTCCCGGAACAATTAAAAAAGTAAAATTGCTGGATGTAAACAAAGGTTTGTGATAATGAGAACATAAATTACTATCAAAAACGGATGCTGAATTCAGACAGGCGTGGATAGTCTCAGGAAATGTGATCAAAAATAGGTTCGAAAATACGTCCTGAATTTCAAAGATATCATTACATCACAACATGAGCGTATAGCCAGTCGAGATGGTTAGTCATTCAAATAGACTCAAACAACAAACAATTTTTCAAATAAATGACAAATATGTCGAGAACATCAAAATAAATAATACATCATAAAATGAAAATTAATCAAGCTTGCATATCTGGTAATATTATGTCAGATATTGAACTTCTAGATCAGATGAAAATCGATTTGCCGAGCAGAGATCATAATGTTAGTAGGATGATGTCTTATTTTCTCGTTATCTTGTAGAAATTAAGTAAATTGACTCTAAATCATTGAATTAGACGATTGATATTGCTCAGTGGAAAACAGCGGAAATCAACGAGCTCCGTGAAACGATATCAAGCGTGCTTTTTGATCGGAATGAAAGTAACCATGACAAAGCAACATTCAATGAATGCAACACCGGATAGAGTAGAAGTGAAGTCAATTTCCAAATGAACATGTCACTATGACATTAAAATGCTAGATGACGATTTTGGTGGAATTTAGGAGGGTTTTATTTACGATTTATAGCTAATTATACGAAAATTAACTATTTGTAATTTTACGATTCAACATCAAGAACGAATCAATTGTTTATACGTTAATTGCAATGAATAAAACTGGAATAAAAGGGTAGAAAATTATTCAACTTACTAGAAGATGCGGGCGTTCGTGAACAAGAATAGTCCCTGAGGTGTTGATAGAAGATACTTGATCAAATAAGTACGTGCATAGACTTCCTTCATTAGGATCAACCTAGATGAAAGTTATGAAGGGCACTCTCTATGGCATGTCTACATTTGCAGTTTAATCTAATACGTCCTTTGTCACTTCATTTCTCGTTTCTGATGTTGACATACCAATTACCCGCGACAGAGTTAAAAAGTTTTACATATTTCATTTTTCACTTTTGACATAACATGATATAACTAAAATCATGTTAAGTCAAAAATAAGAAAATTGTTTTTGCCAGTTGCCTGGTGCCTGGGTATACTCGAATATCCGTAGATTGTTCCTTTATATTGTTTAAGATCTCGCTTCACTTGAATTAGACCTGAAAACATATCACCTCCCATTTCCGAAGGAATTGTCTGACACGTGATGTTATATCATACTGACCTCAGGTTAGAGAACATCATATGCGTTCATGATTTATTAATCGCCTGTCTTATTTTCATTTTCAGTCAGACTCCCCAGTGTGATGACTTCCAGAGGTGACGCGTGAAGAACAATCTTGAAACGAGAGGTTACAAGTAGATTCGTGATGAATATGTAACTAGTTTGGATCGCAATGAACATAAAATGGACGAAGCAAATTTTGGAATACACGACAGTAAAACCACTCAATGAGATCCCTACATGAACCGCAGAGTATTACTAACATTACTCCTTGTGTTATTACTATTCAAAGAATGGTTGAGTAACATTGGAAATTAGTAAAGGCACCGCAGTTACAATATATGACTAGGAAACTGGAAAGCCCAACAGAATAACGCCGAATTACTTAGACGTATAAACCTTTGAAAGATTTTCGAATTCTATTATCCAAATAAATGTGTCTCATTAATGTGACATGATGTACCAAAGGCGAGTGGAAGACTATGAAGATGATATTAAAGATGGCGGTTTGACATTAAACCCAAATCTAACATCTGAGTTGAACGGTAGTGACCTTCATCGTGAATGTTATGACTGGTCAGAATCGGCACACCCCCTCTTCAAGGTTGCCATGGTGTTGTTCTTAGTGGCTTATATTACACCGGATACTTATATGTTTCGTTATAAACCAGTTGTGTTTCGAATACTTGTTGCCTTGGGAACAATTCCTTTGTTGATATGGGCGTCTATCGTTGTATGTTACACTGATCTCTGGAGCTGGAATCTCGTATATTTGATAGCCAATCTTTTGCATTTTATCATCGTTGGAATCATGCTCTATCCAGCTGGTTTCCCTAAAGAACTTGAGCATATATATGCAAAACTTTTCAAGCCATTTAAAGTGTCCCGGACAGACTTTAAGGAATTCGCCGCCCGGGGTTCTTTGTTGGAACTCGATTCCGGGTATATCTATGCCATGGAACAAGTCACTGCTGGGCAGGATAAGTTGTCTATACTGATTTCTGGAAAGTAAGTATGACAAATGAGTATGAGTCAAAGTAAAAATAGTAACGATTGAATTAAGGCAATCTATAACATGAATAGTACCTTGTGATGTAAGATTAAACATATTTTTATATATTGTCATTCTTTTTTCCTCTGGAACACTTGACATTTAATAAATCATTATAACTAATAGATCTATTTTTTTGGGGGCCCCCTATTTTGATTTTTAGGGCTGTTTGGCGATAATTTTTATAGGACGTATGCTGTTTTATCCCATACTTGGACGTGTTACGGGTACATAAAGCCGGTTTGTAAAAACTTATATTTTCATCAGCGGGCAGATATAGCTTTACGTCCCGCTCCGAGCGGGCAGATATAATATATATCTGCCCGCTACGTCATAATCGCTGTTCCCGTATTGGTTCTTTTTTGTAACATTCGCATACTGTAAACCACAATGGAGAAAAACACAAACAATCACGATCTATTTGATGCTTTAAAGAAGGGAAGGAGCAGTATTCCCGGTTAATAATCAAAGATTTGAACAGGAAAATCCGGCTACGGACAAGAATACAAAACTGGACATGAATATTTTAAAATAATTCCACGGTTGGTTGCAAAGTTTCTGAACTTTGGCCAATTGAACAATGTGATTGGTATGGGATAAACATATCATCCTATAGTCGGTTCAGGATATTGGGATTATCCCTTGGCCAATATAATATATCTACCCTCGGGACCTACGGCCCTCGGACAGATATATTATATTGGCCTCGGGATAATCCCAATATCCTGAACCTCATATAGGATAATCTCTATATATGCGTGCATGTAATGTAATTGTATTCAAAATCATAAGCAGATAAATGATGTCCTCATTTTAGTATTTCGGTCCTCTGATTTGTGCTCTATGATTATACAGGGGGAGAGGAAAAATGCGTTTGGGCATTATTTTCCTGAGTGTATTCGGCAAATGGCATTCGAAATTTTGTCCATAGACAAAATAGCAAATCTTTGCGGAGCTTGCTCAAATCATTTTACATAGTTGAGATGATGAATCCTGGTTTTTAGTGCCCATTGTCTTGATATATGAGTGCTAAAACTGGAAGAAACATTAAGTAATCGAATTTAGAAGTGATGGCTAGTATATAGCATGACCATACAAGGTTTCAGAAAAGATAATATTATTAGAAAATTATCACGCTCTGGGCGTGTTGGGGTGTACTTAGGGTCTAAAAATAGGCGCAGCATATGTCTAAGAGAAGCAAAATGTAAAGACAAGAGATATTCTTACAATTTTAGAAGAACAAACGTATAGAAATATTTCTGCTAAGTTTTTGGAGGTTCACATTTGACATCTTTGGCCCAAAATCACTTGCAAGTGTGTTTAACTATATGGTTTTGAAAGAACCCCCAGGCAAAGGCGACGTTGGAGATCTAAATTGAAATTGAACGTGGACATGGACATGGACGTTAGCAAGCAAACACCTTTTTATGTCCCCACCACATAGTGTGGGGCCATATTGTCGGCCTAGGCGCGTCCGTCTGTCCGTCCGTCTGTCTGTCCGTCTGTCTGTCCGTCTGTCTGTCCGTCCGTACGTCCGGGAGTTTTCTCCAAAACCGCTGCAGATATCACCTTCAAATTTTCAGGGATAATTTATGAGTGCATGCAGATGTGGATGAAAAAAAATTAACTCGATACCTACTTCCTGTCGGCCATTTTGAAGTCAAATGCTAAAATCCTTGTCTGCAAACTTTAAGAAAAACGGCTTAACAGTTGCTTTTAAAACTTTAACATCTTGTTCAGCTCACTTCATTCTAGATCTGATTAGGTTTTGGACCTGTTAGCTCAGTCATGTCAGCCATTTTGAATGTTTTAAGAAAAGTTAGCGCACGATAATACTTTGTATCATATTGAATGGTGTTTTTCAGTTTTCATGCTTTAACTTTTTAGTAGCTTTATAAATAATTTCAGGTGTACTTTGTTGTAAAAGCTTATGTTATTGTTAACAGTAGGTATATGTGATAATTTTGTAAAAAGATTTCAGCAAAAACTCATAATCACTTTTTTATTGTCGGCCATTTTGGATTTTTCCGTCCTAAAATCTTGTCTGTAAAGTCTTGTCTACGCGTTTTCAGGTGAACCGTTTGGTAGATCAATTTCAAATTTTCAGGGATGATTCTTAGTATGAGAATCTAGATCTGATTAGTTTTTGGGCATTCTGGGTAAATGTCAAGGCAGCCATTTTGGATTTTCCGTCCTAAAATCGTGTCTGTAAAGTCTTGTCTACGCATTTTCAGGTGAACCATTTGGTAGATCAATTTCAAATTTTCAGGGATGATTCTCAGTATGAAAATCTAGATCTGATAATTTTTACGGCATTCTGGATAAATGTCAAGGCAGCCATTTTGGATTTTCCGTCTTAAAATCTTGCCCGTAAAGTCTTGTCTACGCGTTTTTAGGTGAACCGTTTGGTAGATCAATTTCAAATTTTCAGGGATGATTCTTATTATGAAAATCTAGAACTGATTAGTTTTTGGGCATTCTGGGTAAATGTCAAGGCAGCCATTTTGGATTTTCTGTCCTAAAATCTTGTCTGTAAAGTCTTGTCTACACATTTCCAGGTGAACTGTTTGGTACATCAATTTTAAATTTTCAGGGATGATTCTTAGTATGAAAATCTAGAACAGATTAGTTTTTGGAATTCTGGATAAATGTCAAGGCAGCCATTTTGGATTTTCTGTCCTCAAATCTTGTCTGTAACGTCTTGTTTACATGTTTTCTGGTTAACTGTGTGAGGGATCAATTTCAAATTTTCAGGGGTGGTTCTTAGTATGAAAATCTAGAACTGACTAATTTTTTGTCATTCTTGGTAAATTTTAAGATGGCCATTTTGGATTCTCCGTCCTCAAATTGTGTCGGTAAAGTCTTGTCTACTCATTTTTAGGATAATCATTTGACAGGATTACCCATAGGTGGGGACATATTGTACACGTTTGTGTTCTTGTATTTAAGTACATTCGTAAAACGTGAATAATGGGGAAAAGTGATAACTTTTTTAACCTCTAATTATTGTAACCGATTTCACATGGCAGTGACGGGCGTGTTTTATTACTACAAAGAGCAATTCTTCAATGCAGTCCGAAATCACGGCAACGTCAGATTCCGTTCTCACATGGCGGACGAAAGTTCGTATTAGATTCGATCTTTTTCCATTGCACGTATAATAGAGCATTTAGATAAAATTCCTTAAAGGAATATTCCTTGCCAAACCATCTCTCTCCTCATATGGTAGCTATAACCATATATATGCTTGCCATGTTTAGCAAAACAAGCAAAAATGTTTTGATATGGTCAAATTTGATCATTAGAAATGTGATGCTCAATTCCAGTAAGCTGCTATCTTTTAAAATTTCACAGAGGAAGTGATGTCATCGACTCTCAACTTTGCATATAGCATTAGGTGAGGAGCTATTAAGAATTACAAAACCAGCTAAATATTCTTTTTCAACTTTGTATCTTATTTAATCCTTCTGAAAATCTCTTCTTTTATTCTAAGTTGACAAGCCCTGAAAATATTTTTCCACAGAAAGTAATGATCACTTGTCTAGAAGTGATTTTGTTATGGGCAAGGTTATAGAAGTTGAGAGTTGATGACATCACTTCCTGCAAGAAATCTTAAAAGATGGCAGCTCACTGGAAATAAGCACTAGATTTTTAAATGATCAATATTGACCATATTAAAACATTTTCCCATGTTTTGCTAGATATGGAAACTATATATATGATTATAGCTACCATATCAAGAGAGAAAGGGTCTGGCAAGGAATATTCCTTTAAGTACAAACATCATTTTCAAGTGTCTTGCTACTTATTGTAGGGCTAGATATGTTCAAACATCATGAGAAAGTCCGATTAAAATATGGCCCTTGACAATAGAAAATGTTTTACCACTTGCGATTGTCCTCGTCTGTTTTAAAAAAAATTCTGAATCCGTTGTCTTTCATGATTTGGAAGAATGCATATTCATTTATTGTGATGATTCACATCTACATTTGAACGGAACTAGCAATTCATATATGACACCGTTACAAGAGCTAAAATATTTGCACAAAATTATCGATATTGACTCAAGAAATGAGAACGAAGCAATTGAAAAGTTGAAAGAAACGGTGGTTGCGTCCGCCATTTGTGACAACGTAATCTGACGTTGCTGTTGTCTTGGTGTTCCGGTATGCATTTGAACACTTTTGATATGGCCCCGTGTGGCCGAACTGGGCATCGGAGTTGATCCGAAAACCGAGGGTCACTAGAAAGGGAGGGGGTGACGATTGTTCGTGGATAGGGTTGGGATACCGGAATCTATATGCAAGACAGTGGGCCTATTCCGAGGCCTTGAGAGCCGCGGATAGTGAACTACTCACTCAGCTGGTACGCTGGGGACAAAGCTAGAATCAGCCTGGCTGTTCCCTCCCTGACTCATAAGAACGTCAAATCATATCAGTACCCGTTGACTAAGATTTTCTAAAACAAGGTCCAGCTCCGTTGCTGTAAAATGGCTGCTTAATTGGTTGGTTTATGATAAATAAAAAACTATTTTCTCAAAGTTTGATGGGACCCGTGTTCATAAAAGATTAAGTATGTGATAGCACGCCGAGACGACGAGTCTAGTTGAATAATTGATTGGCTGGATAGCGTCTCTAATGAAGTATATCACCTGTAGACCATTGTAATATCTATTTAAGCCGCTTTAATAGTACAATAACGTCATTTCGAAGGACAATATAGTGAATTATAACATACCTATGATGATGTATAGTGCAAAGTGTACACAAGACAGCGGGCCAATATAAGATTTGAAAAGCCCGCGCCCGCTAACTTTCTGATTGGTCAAGGCGCTGACGTCATAACCAATCAATCCAAGGAGGATTGGCTCCCAGAATGCAACACCGATATTCTGCAAAACAATCACCTAGCGATAGCTTTGTTGGAGAGTATCGGGTCATTCTCCATGCAGTCGTACAAATTATACAGACACGAATAGCAAATGACGCATGCGTGGAGATTAAAGAATATCGAGTTGGAACCCTGGCTTCCAATCCTCCTTGCAATCAATCGAAGATAAAACTGCGCGAGCAATTTTTATAAACTCATTTCAATCATTTTCAAACCATTTGTTTGTCAATTCTATAAGAAAACGGTACTCTCTGACCAGTCTACATCATCATAGGTATGTTATAAATCGTTTATGTCACTATCGTGGCACATATGCCCTCGGTTCTCAAAGATCAATGTCCCTCCCAAGGTCGGGCCATATATCACTGAGACCTCGGGCATATATGCCACGATAGTGACATAACCTCTAAATATTGGACCGAGGGCCGAAGGCTCAAGGTCCAATATTTCACCATATTGCCCGCAGGAATGACGTTATTAGTATTATTACCACCGTTAATGACCAGGATTGAAACAGCAAGAAAATCTTACGCACTGAACGATATCTAATTTCCCGGGGAAAATTGCCGGTCATTAATTGCTTTATTGACCGGCAATATGGACCGCCACTATGACGTCACATATTGCTCAGGTCGATGTAGAAAATTGAATGCCTCCTAAACTAGCACTAAAACCCCTAGAATTGGCCCGGCAAGGTGGTAATAATATCGTATAATAATTGCTCATCACATCTTCGCGTGTTTATTGCTTGGTCAGGATTGCTTCCAACACCGCTGAGAAAAAAGAACATGAGCTCACCTGCACGCGTGAATTCAGATGCTTTTAAAGGTCCCGACGTTTGAAAATATTGCCGGTGTGAAAGAAATGATGGTCCCCCAGGGATTGTGGTCCTTAACGGCCCTTACTGACCCTGATTGCGTATAAGATAATGAGGGAAAGAGTTATATTGAGGTCACCATATAAATCATAAATCAATAGAGAGTAGGACCAAAATTTGATAGGACCACCTTACCTTTTACACCGGTTAATTACCAATTATTTGACATGACCTAAAAATAGTTTTAGCCATTTTTTGAAACAAAGTTGACTTCGAAAAAAATTTATTGGTCTTTTGATTTTGAAATATTTGAATTTCCCGCCAATTTAGCAGCAAATGTCAAATGACTTTCAAATCATCAAGATAGAAAAAGTAACATCATTTCAAACAAAAGTTTCACGTATCACATTTTCTTAACATTGGGACTTGGGAGAGGCAATAAGTCAAAGTATTTAAAGCTTTATTTGGAGCATTTAATGAATTAATATATACACTCATATTGCCATGCGTAGTAACGTCATGTCGCTTGAAAACATTGCAAAAAGAATAACGGGAGTCGGTGATCCTTGTGGAATAATTTGATCTTCAATTTGGCGTTACATTGTCTTTAGAATAATCAGAAGTCTCTCCTTGGTGTTATCAAAGCGTTGGAAACGTAATTCCGATTTGGGATATCCTTCAAAATTACATCCCACATCAATTACGGATCATACTGCTGGTCTAGCATTCTTCGTTCGAACAATTTTTATCGATGGACATGATTTGAATAACGCCATCACTCTGGGAAATGACGAGAGCTGGACCATGCCTATAAATTGATTGATTCGATGTGTTTTCCCCTTGAAAGTAAGTTAATGGATTCAGCCAATCTGGACGCTATATCATCATGTGTGTTCATCTCCGGGGACAGTACGTAATGAAAGTAAGATTTATTCAACAGAAAATAAATTGCGATTGCGATTGTGTCGCAAGGCCTAGCCATTAGTTCCGTTTTATTTATTTTTTCTATTCATTTTAAAATCTATTGCGAATCATAAATAAAATGAACAACCTGGATTTTTATCAACTTGTCCGGATTTTCCATATTATCTTGTAATGATTGATATTATGAACGTCATGCGCAAACATGGTCCAAAGTTGTCTCATTCGCCTCTCCCAACTTCCTTATTTGGGCATTTCAATACCCGCAATGGAAATGTAAAAATGTCAGTGTAAATAATAAGAAATGATAAGCTTTAAATCCGTACAAAAATTCGGCGAAAATAGACCATCCACATCATACTCGAATGGAATTTTCTATGGAATGATTTTTGGATAAATCAGTTTTAGATGGAAAGTTTTGAATACCGGTTTCGTAAATATAGGTCGTATAGTTCTTGTTTCCAGATACGTATACAATATGAGAGTGTAAATTCTTTTCATAATCTACCATTAGTAAGCCAGAATGATTCAGGACAAATATAGGTCCCATGGTATTTATTTCAGAATGCGATTGCCATATGGGATGTGGATTGTTCTTCATATATCTGCCATTAAAGCAAGCCAGAATGATTTAAGAGAAATATGTGTTTCAACGTTTTTGTTTGAAGTTTCGAGTTTAAGAGAAATATAGGTCAACATTCTTGTTTCAGAATACGGGTGTCATACGAGAGGCTGATTCTACATTACATCGAACCCAACCAGTTCTTAGACTCAATAGAGTACGAGGTGAACAACTCCGATGATTCAACTAAGGACACATTCCAAGTATGTGAATTAATTGTGTTGTTATTGTTGCCCATTGTTTTAATAAGCAAAGCAGTAAATGAGTCCCTCGGTCTTGCTGTAAGTTGTGCATGGAATTAATTAGTCGGATAATTTTAATGACTTAAAACTTAGTCCATACTAATTATTAATCTGTATTGTCTCTTCCTAGAACACACAAATTCAAAATAATACTTGATGAGGCGAAATTAAAAGGCAAGATGCGCTCATACGAATTGACAGTACGTGGAACCGATGAATTGTTTCTCTGATTACATATCTCTGTCATTTGTCAAAAATGTACCTGTCAACCTGTAATTTGTTCTCGAAAGAATACAACAAAAATAGGGGGGGGGGGTTAAGTTACACGTTTTTAAAGAACCTAAACGTGAGCGTGTACTACAAGTATTTCGGCCCCCAGGGATTACTGTTCCGCGTTCAATTCACTTTCACAGGCACCTAAATACAATTATTTGCCCTATATCTTTACACTCAATCGGCCAAGCAAACACTGCAAATGAGAGAACTAATCCAAATTGGACCATAATTCTACACGTTCGCGTACACGTTATTTTAAAAACGTGTAATTAACCGCAAAAAATAATATGAAAATCTATATTGTTATGAAAACAATCTTAAAAACGTTGTTAGTATCTATCTGCTATAAAGTTTGTATAAACTACTAATTTAAAAAAGACTAACAATGTTGATGGAGAAACCCCCCCCCCCGAATTAATCTACCGGTTTTCAATAAGGGTTGACAAGTATGATAAAGAAGCTAGAGCAGACATTTAATTTATAAGTTCATCTTATGCGTCTCTAGCTAGAATTACAGCCAAGCCTTTGATCTCTTCCTTTATCGTTTTCTCATTGCTGCTCATCTGCCATTCTCTGATCGTCTGGTTCTCTACAATCGAGTTTTCTATGAGCCACATGGGACTTTGTCAAGTACATTAATAATACCGTGATTATTCAAAAGCAATTTCAACAAGATTCTATTGTCCGTCTCATAATGATATGTTCCTTTTTATGTAGCCAAGGTGCTCTCTGTAAGTCATAATTCCAACACGAACCTTTGAATTTTACACTTACCATGGTATTTTGGTTGATCCTTTTTCAAATGAGTTGATCTTTTTTGCTAATAGGTGTCTCTCACTGCTGAAGAACCGTGTCTAATATATACCTGGCCCTCTGGGGCCCTCAATGACCACTTAAAAGCCAACCCATTCCTGGGAGCACTTCTCAACAAAATCCTTGGTAAAGACATCACTATGAAACTATATCAGGTAAGTTTATGTGTAACTTATCTTTTTATTCAAGGTCGGCAGAGCGGATATATAGCTTTGGTGAATTTGTGCATGACATCAGTATGTAATAGTAAAATGTCTCTGTCAATTAACAGTTTGCAGTTATGCCTAGGACCTAAGTAAATCAGTCAGATTTCATTTTTTACTAAACTAAATTAGAATCTGATGAGATACTATAACTTCAGGCCTATTAACCATTCTATTTCTTTAGATTTCTCTTCATTTCAGCCTACTTTAAGTTTTAACATTAGTTTAATGCACTCACTTAAACAGGAAAATTGATTTACATGCTATATTTCCCTAACAAATATTTCTAGGTGCAATACATGATGGCCAATCCAGAGTCCATGCGTTTGGTGCAGAGGAGGAACTCATCCATGGTGAATGTACGCAGTGCCATCTTTAGACGCAATAGTGTACTTCCTCCCCAATTAGGTAATGTAAACTAGGATCTTTATTTACACTTTCATTTATCAATAGCAATCACCCCCGGGCAATCACCTAACCATAATATCTCAGATCTACTTTTTTGTGAAAAGTATTTAACTCCCATCTTTAGGTTAATTTTTGATTATAAAACTTCAACTTCATCTATCAACATATTTCATATTACTAAAATGTGGAACAGCGTTAGAACAGCGTTTGCACAAAAAACAAAGAATCACAATGTACTGTTGCACCATAGACTACAGAGTAAATATTTATCTCAGAAACAAATCTCTCTGAAATCACTCCAAGAGTAATAGCTAATTCCATCCTTTGCTTTTTCTTTATCTCATCTTCAAAGTTTAATGTTTACCACTGATCTCTTGGAAGTCACTTGCAAAAACAAGTTTCAATACACACCATTCCTTTACGTCTTTTAGGTATTGACTTATGTATCTTCGAGGCCCTGCTAAAAATAAAAGTAATCTAGGCTAAGAAGGATATGTAATCGTGACTTTAACATTGTTTGCACGATGAATAACAAAATGCTTAAAAAGTCCTACCTTAGAAAGACTTTAAAACATGCCGCATCGCATGATGATCATAGACTATATTTGTTGTATTCTTTTATTTTCATTCTTCCAGGCAACTTTATAGAAGAAGATGAAACATTTCCCTCAACACCTGACACTCTCCACCAGAATTCCAACAACCACCAGAGCCATCTTTCATTCCCAATAGACACTAATGATTTGAAATGTCAACCCTCCACAAGAGTCTCATTTGCAATATCTGTTGATTCAATCAGCTCACAGGGTACAACTGACGATGAGAATATTATAAGTAATGGTGTCATTGATGATCCTAAGCATTACACCTTTGGTGATGATCCAAAGCCTGACAGAAATTCTCAAAATCCTTCACATTATAGTAATTGTATTGAACTTAAACATTACAGCCATTGTAATGATCCTAAGGATAACAGGGATTCTGATGATCTTCAACATTGTGAATGTGATGATCCCCAACATCATGATTGTCACGACCCTAAACATTACAAAGATCATGATGACTCTAATGATTACAGAGATTCTGATGATCCTCAATATTACAATTGTGATGATTCTCAGCATTTTGTTTTCAGTGATCCTCAGCATTTTGATTGTGATCATCCACATAACACTGACAGTGATGATTCTCAAAATTACATGGATAGTGACCTTGAATCTGACAAGGGATCAATCCAAGGATGAAACACTCCTTAAATGTATATGGTGTATAGGCTTTCTGGCTAAAAGTTTCTCATAAAATTTCTTCATATTTTTTTGCTAGATCACACACCTTTCCCTGTTAATGAAACACAAGTTTTTGAAATTGTGATGAACAAATGGGTGCAGTGAATGCTGTAATGAGGATTAAATAAAAACAAAAGGAGTCCCCTCAAATTAAGGCAATCCTTGAGGTTGTGCCTTTAAACTAGTTTTTATATCACTTATCCAATTGTTTAAATCTGTGGAATATTTTTTATGGGTTTTAAATGTATAAGAAGCTTTCATAATTGTTTATCTTGATGATAGTGACAGGAGCTTTAAAACTGAAATCAATATGGCACACAAGTGAAGGAATCTGAATAGTACTATTGCACCCTAATCCTAGAATTTGATTTGATAAATTGAAGAAAAATCAATTAAGATAGAGAACTGTACCATCTATAATGTAAAAAATATCTAACTGTCATTATCACTTGCACAATTTACTTTTATTTAGAACCCCTCTAAGAGCTTTTAAAAGTGAGTAAACACAGGGGAATATACAGTGTCACCCCTTCTTTTACATCTAGTAGTTATGCAAGTGTTTTTAAAGTGAAGCTTTAAAGATGAGGTCCAAAAATGGTATAATTAAGCCTCCAAATAGCTTATATTTGCTACTCCTGGTTTAGCTCCTCACTATGTCATTGTATAATGTAGAGTAGTGTAAAAGAGGCCTGCAAGTACATAACCTGAGCTCCTTGCAAGACTCAAATCTTGCAAGACTCTTACAAGACTCAACTCTTGAGACTCAACTCTTGCAGGACTCAACTCTTGCGAAACTCAATTGTTGCAAGACTCAACTCTTGCAGAACTCAACTCTTGAAAGACTAAATTCTTACATGACTCAACTCTTGCGAGATTTAATTATTACAGGACTCAACTCTTACAAGACTCAACTCTTGAAAGACTAAATTCTTGCAGGACTCAACTCTTGCAGAACTCAACTCTTGCAGGACTCAACTCTTACAAGACTCAACTCTTGAAAGACTAAATTCTTACAGGACTCAACTCTGGTAGAACTCAACTCTTGCAAGACTCAACTCTTACAAGACTCAACTCTTGAAAGACTAAATTCTTACAGGACTCAACTCTTGCAGAACTCAACTCTCACAAGACTCAATTCTTGAAAGACTAAATTCTTACAGGACTCAACTCTGGCAGAACTCAACTCTTGCAAGACTCAACCTTTGCAGAACTCAACTCTTGCAAGGCTACACTTTTGCAAGACTCAACTGTTTACCAAATTCGTCTTCAAGTGGTCACCATTTGACCGTGTTGTTTGCTATTGTTTCCAATTTTGTACTGCAATATAAATCCACTGTGTGTTTTGTATGGAAATTCTTTTTTAACAGGCCCTGCTTAAATATGATAATAATAAAACAATGATTACAAATAATAAAATACTGTTTTATTTTCTCTTTAATCAAAATTTTCCTAGATGTTTTCCATACTGCATTTTGCATAAAAATATTCAGTGAAAGTACAAATATACATCTTATGTTAAAAGACAACCAGTCCCTTTAATAGTACAAAGACACATTAAAATATCAACCATAATCACAGTGACAACATGAAGTAATTACATAAGTGAATGATATTTGATATTCCTCATGAGATAAACTCCACTTTTGAAGTACCCTATGGTGGTACCCATGATTCCTTGCAACTAGATCAAAGAGAGGCGTCCTCTGATGAGTTGATCCTGTCTAGTTCTTAGAGTCATGGGATTGGGTGACTTTGTGACAGATTTTGATTATGATGCAATGCTATTTACTGAATATACTTTAGTCTAGCTACAAGCTCCTGTGGCCCCCTCCCACTGCTTACTACGCAGCTGCTCAGTAATGAAGGGGGGGGGGGTCGCAAGGGCTTGTAGCTGGACTACATATATGGTACTTGAAGTTTAGTTCACAGTACAGAGCTTATGCACCTTTAAGTAACATTGCACAGTCCCTAGAGAGGGAGAAAGGGGACTCTAGAGTCCTTATGTAAGACTACTTAAAGGGTCTTGTCAACACTAAAAATACTACTAAGCAATTTGTATAATATGATATCTTGGATTTTACCCTACAACCATCACTGATGATAAATGAGAAATGTACACTGAGAAAACATAGGTACATTTCATGACATTTTGTCATTTTCATATTTCAGGATTTTGACTATTGCAAAACTCCTGTCTCCCTTTTCATTTTATTAATGCACAACTCGCTTCATATTTTATTATTACACTGTCCCAGTTTTACATTTCTTCAGTATTATTACACAACTTATTTAATTTTCATAACACAAAAAATGTTTCACATTTCATTTTATAATTACCATTCAATTGTTTCAAATTCTGTTATTACCCAACCACTGTTTCACATTTTTTATAACACAATCAATGTTTCACATTTCATTCTATTATTACACAACCATTGTTTCACATTTATTATTACAGGCCATTACACAACCATTGTTTCACATTTCAATTATTACACAACCCCTGCTCCACATTTCATATTGGGATAATCTCAGAATTTCTACATCAATACATAAGATTTAATACTTATTTTGTAGAATATTAGAATGTAAATACTCATTACTTGAGTAAACTCAAAGCAATACTCACAGTTTGAGTAAACAAAAACATGGAAATATCAACTTGTTGAGTCGAAACAAAAACATTTCTAGAGTACAAAACTTATACTGTTAAGTAGAAACCAGATGAAACTAACTTTATCAAGTAAAAAGTCTATGTCTAATACATTATGCTCCTTCATATGAAAACTAAATTTCTTGAATAAATATTGATCAATTCTATGGATTTACATTTGCAATATCCATCTAGACATGTCTGCATTCTGGGATGTATAATAAACCCTTCATTCATGCCACTGCAATGATGAATAAATTTTCAAAATTAATTAAATTTCATTTCCATCTGGAGAAATCGTATTGTGTTCTTCATAAGATAACATACATGTAGGAATATATACATATGAGGCAGACAGATGACATTTGTAATTCAATTGTTTAGTTTAAGAGTATTGAGCTTTGAGCATTAGGTCTAAATATTTTTGCCTGCAAATGTACAATGGTATAATGAGGTATAATAAGGCTAGGAGTAATTATTTGTTTGTTTAGCTTTAACATTGTTTTTGTACAAGGGGATACAATTAGATTCTCTCTTTTATATCCCCAATTTTTGGAACGGATACTGCACACATGTTTAATTGACGAAATATGCTAGAATTCAATTTTTCATATATAATGTACTGTATGAAAACATGTACAATATTTTTTCTCCACTGATTCACTGATTGTGGTTGGGTCTTTAGCTCAAGCACAGTATATTTGTAAATGTTCAGTATTTACATGGTCTCAGTGCCATGTAAAGTCTGAATGCCTAGATAGGGTTGAAGTTGAAGTTTTTAAGAACAAAGCACTTGAAATAGACAATTGTTCACCTATGTGTGGAATGTCTCTCTGGTTTTTCCTTCTTACACATTTTCTCCCTTAAACCCTTCATAATGTTGGACTTTTCAGCTTTGTTGTACAATTTGAGATTTCTACTTTATGTAGATTTATCTATTTTTCATTTATTCTTCTCCTTTGAGCTGTAATTTCTGATAGCAATGTGACCATCATAATACTTATTTCAAGGGAATGATCTATCTTAAGGTAGACAGGCACATGTTAAGGGCCTACTTAGAACAATGGGAAATCAACAGATATCATTAATAACTAGGTATGTTCTGCTCATGATTTTTTCAATGTTACTTGTCATCAAACAGGCTTCATAGGTGAGGCAAAAACCTCACAAAAATTTTACAGAAAAATACTTTTTAACATTTTTTGACTAAATCTGTGAAAGTTATGTGCCACATAAGTAAAATGCCCCTTTAGCCTAATCTCTGTCTGTCATATCTAAATCCATTTGGACCTCAACTGCAGAACTGAATTTGATTATTTCACTGCTATTCAATTCTGCATTGTTAACATTGACCCCCAAGTTATCTAATCATTACACATGTTCTATACAGGTACATGTATGTATTACATATGTCTCTAAGTCCAATACAGGTTAGTTATCTGTTCAGTGCAAGATTTCTTTGAAGAAAGATGACTGATCTCCAAGTTTTCTTTTTTATTAAACTTCTAAATGGAAAGAAAACATGTCAAATTGAATTGAGAGAAATTCCTAAAATCATAAAATGAGGAGAAGACAATTCCAAAGGTTCACAATGTCAGCCAAAAAAGGCAAGAATATGGTTTGATTGAGGAGGTATTGAGATAATGTGTTAGGTGGTGCTAAACAGATTATTAACTTGTATGGGCCTAAGATTGAGTATTATGACAATTACATAGACAGAATGTATTATTGCACTTTTTGACAAAACTTAAAATTAGTTAAAATCAATTTTGGCCCTAAACAGTACAATTCATATTCTTCCTGTATTTTCCAAATGTTGGAAAGTTTAAGGAATGTATAAATAAACATTTTCTAGACTAAAACCATATTTTGAAGAAAAATATATTACAATATGAAAATCATAATTCATTCATAACTAGTGTAAATGTATTAAAAATATATAACTATGAAGTTTTTGGCATATGTGGAATTATTTCACTGGATTAAGCAAGTGGAGTTTTTCTGTTAAATGTTGGTGAATTATCTGGGTTTTCAGGGTCCAATCCATTGTTTATTATCCCTAATTGCAATTGCCCATTAATCTTAGGGAGTTCATTTGGGTCTAACATCAACGTTGCGGTGGATGTTCTTCTTGGTCTTTTATACATTGGGTTTTCAACTTGGGTTTCCCTTCTTCCCAAGCCCAGTCTCACAGGATGTTTTCTACGATACCATAAAAGATAAACAAGCAATATACCGATGCATATCGTTAAGACTGGAATCACGACTGCAGCGACTATGATTCCAGTGTTGGTCGGGGGCCCCTTGTTTTTCTCAGTTATTGGCACGTTTGTTGTAAATGTGATGACCTGGAACGTTACAGTTGAACTACCAAACAATGGTGTGGTCCCCCTGGTTGCCTGGAAACAACAACAAACAATGAGAATGTGAAGCAAATACTGGTGCAGATCAGAGAAACCATAAGGTGGGTCAACATTGAAAAATAAGAAATTGGCTTATTATTCGTCCAACATTTCACATGCAAACTGTCTCCACCTGGGATTTGTTACAGACGCTAAACTCCAAAAGCCAAACTCCAAATGCCAAATGCTGAACTCTGTCCACAAAAAAGTCAGAAACTCTAACAATATGTCACCACTTGTAGTTATGACATATTAAGGCCTATCTAGAAAATTGGGCCTTATAGCAAAATGGTGAATGGTAATGGCTTTTACCCTGAAATAAGTTTATCTCTCTTGAGGGGGCATGTTTAACATTAATGTGCATTTAGGAGGTCACTGACAGTTTATCTGTCAATGTCCTCAACCAATGAAAGATAGCAGACTTGACCAAATGACAATACTTAACTGAACTAAAAGGGTCTTATGAAAGTAAATATTTAGAGAGTGGCATTAATAATTGATAGACTTTTTTAGAAAAAATATTTTTAAGAAAAATGTTCCTTTTTTAAAAACTTAATACTTTAAAAAGTGAATAACACTTACTGTTGTACTTGGTGTTGTACTTGGTGGAGTCGTACTAAATGTTGTACTTGGTGGAATCCTACTGAATGTTGTATTTGGTGGAGTTGTACTAAATGTTGTACTTGGTGGAGTCGTACTGGATGTTGTACTCGGTGGAGTTGTACTTGACAGAGTTGACTGACTGACTTTTGTACTTGGTAAACTAGTAATTTCATTTGTTGATGACACTGAAGTACTTGCTGGTGAGTTTGTTGGTGAGTTTGTTGACACTGATTCACTCTCATTTAATGGCTTGAACTCAATGAGAAACTTTGAACCAGTAAATGGTGAGCTTCCAGATTGGAATTGGATTTCAAATGTATTTGTTTGTGTTTGGAATTCCACTCCACTACAGTTCTGTTTGGTGCATTCAATCTGTTGTAACCTTCTTTTACTATCACTGCCATCTATCAATTTCAACAAATCATCCTGATTGGTCAATAAGGTTTTGAAAGTTAATATGAACCTTTGGGCAGTTTTGCCCGTCACGGCCCAAGTACATTCCTGGTTGGGTCCATAGTCTTCTGGATAATTTGCTGATGCAATGCTCCCATTGTCCATTATCTGTATGGGGTCAAGTTCACTAGGGCATGTGCCAACGCATTGGGGAAAATCATTTGACCATTTTGCTTCTCCACCATCATCAATACAAGTTATTGTTTGAGAAGTAGGTGTAGATGGAGTTAACAGGAAAAATGGTTCACAGTCAAATTCCACACTTTCCCCGATCGTGAAATTCTTCCCTATGATGAAACCAAAGTTCGGTTTTTCTGGTGCAGGGCATTCAACATCTTGGCTCTGTGTGGATACAGTCGCAAACTCTATTGTAAATGGTGATGCTCTTGATGTGTTAGTCGTATCAACCTCAACAAATACAGTTCTATTATATGATTCTATTGTATCATAAGGTACCTCTGATGTGCCTTTCCACTGTCCAATCAAATTGCCCAAATTATTCACACCATCATAAATCAAAACACTTATACCTGTGTTACTATTTTTAAAAGTCAGGAGTATTCTAGATCCCTTGTTAACTGTAATAGTATAACTACATTTCGCCTTCAGTAGTATATCAGTATTATGAATGACCCCAGTGTCATTGTGGAACTTCCTCAACAGGGGGCACTGGTTAACGTTTATACATTGTGGAATCATGACAATATCAGTGCTCTGAATCGCTCTACCATAATCATCAATTTGTACCCATGATTTATCTGGTAAACATTTATAAACAACAAAAACATTTTCAGTGTCAGCATTTCTACATGAGTACCTAATTGTATCATTTGGCATGTAAGAGTCTTTTACAGGCTCATATGTCATCCCTTCGATCATCATTGGTTCACTACATTTAGACAGTGAATTATCTTTGTCATTATGATTGGACCCATCTATGTGGGGAACTTCGTGATCAGCTGGGCCAGTAATCTCATTCGGAACTGGTCTTGTATTTATCACAATAGGTGGCTCTGTATGGCTTCCAAATGCATTCTGGGTAATAAGAAACACTATGAGACATGTGAATGTCACTTTGAAATGGTATTGCACTTTTTCCATTTTGCTTTGATGTTTCTTCAGCTAATTAGCACCAGTTTATTATTGTTAGTAAAGACCAAGTGAGAGCATTATGTATCAGATATATCATACGGTAATCCATTCAGATTCATATCCAATTCTATGTTTTGAAAATTTACATCAGCTTCCAATTTATATATATCATCTGATTCAATAATTTCTTCAATATCTTAGGCGAATTCTGACTTCGGACCTTATATTATAGATAATTCTAATGCGTTAAACATGCACTAAGTTCATAAAAGTACATGAATCGACCCAATTGTCCTTTTGCTTCAACGTCTCCACCCAAGGTTGGTAAATAGACATTTTGACCCGTTCTTAGGTATTCTGGGGGCAGATAAGAATTGTTGATACTGCGCTTGAAGGCCTGATCTTTGACGTTTATGATGGTTCACTTTCAAGAGTCTTCTACTTGATAAGTGTATTGTTTATGCCTGGTTCATTAGGTTCGTTGTTTGATAACAATACCTGAAAGTTCAAGAACAATGGTCCTTAATATCTGAGTGAATCAAATAAATATAGAAATCTATTACTGATAAACAGTACTTTAACTTAGTCATTATTAAGTTAAAATTAATCAATTTCTTATTCATTTTTATGATGTTTCATAACTTAAGAGGGGGTGGAGGGGTCTATTAGGGGTTATCTATGGACCCTCATATCTTACTACATGATTTTACAGGTCTTATACCTTATCTACTCTCAAATATATAACAATATTTTGTTGTAACGTCAAAAAATATTTTAACTTACAAAAAATGCTATTTTGATGGAAGGTATGATTTTTTTGACCAGTCGCTCAGAGATTTAAAAGGTTTTACATAATATACATGCACATGTGGCTTTGTAAGAAATAGAAGATTAAGTACAAATATATGGAGATACTTTATCTATTTAAGTCTTTGAAAACATGTAACAATTAATAGTTTCAAGAGTATGTCTTGTTTGAAAGTATTTCTCCAAATCTCAGTCATTGATGCTATCTTTAAGTATATAACTGTTTCATATATTATATTGAACACTCTGCACAATAAAATTCAAGAATATTAAACAATACTTAGGAAAGTTATTCCAAAATTAGAGATTTGCATTTTTGAGTTTTGAGTCGCCCTGTTTCAATTGTGTGCAGTTATCATTGAAACATGTTACTTCATTACGAAGCCTTTTGACAAAAAGCTTTGTAAGGAAAGAACTTGTGCCTGTGTAACAACACTAAAATCCTTCGAAATGAAGCTTTTAATAAAACCAGCTGTATAATTACACATATTCCTATTGGTACCCTTGATGCCCTTGATGGTTGTAATTATGCCTGTACTTACTTATATAGTCCTATAAATAACTGCGATTTTACTCCTCTTTTGTGAACATGACTTAACACATCACAAATTGATGTGGAAGAATAATTTCCTTTTGATAAACTTTTTAAACATCCTCTTCTCAACGACTTGTTTACTTCTTTATATTCACCTTAACCTAGAGATATGCATTACACGAGTGAATATGAATAAAACATTTCATTGTTTTCTACCTGTTTATTTAATGATGAGTCACAAGACTCATTAAAATTTCATTAAACTTCTGTATATTAAAAACTAATTTAACAGGTGTTTAGTAGAACAATGAATATCAAGTTCAGTAAAATAATTTGTTACATGGTTTAAAATAAAAACATGGATTTTGGTGGGAATTGGCAAGGAATAAAACAAAAATGTGACAATTGATACATTCTGAACTATAAAGAATTGTATAAAATAAAATTACAACAATCATTTCATTCTTGGGAGAAATAGTATTGTATTAACACAAGGGCTTTGATTAATATAACAAAAGTGATACTTTATTCATGGTAAAATTACTTTTATAAAATGACTAACAGGTGCTGAACTTATATAAACATTGCGTATTGTTATGTGTATTGTTGATTGCTCATTAAAGAATTCACAAAAGTTCTTAAAGGCCCCATGTAAAGTTTAAACCACTTTTGCTTTTATTGTAGTCTTACCCAATGTTATCAAAGTGTGATATGTGAAACTTTTTTTTTAAATTTCAAAAAGTGGTTTTTGATAGACTTTTTGTTCCAAAATATGTAAATTTATTTAAAACCAACTTTTAGAGGTCACTCATATCTTCTAATTAGCCACAATTCATACCGATGCATAGTATTCATCCTCCCATGTTTTTTGCCGAAAAAATTAAGAAAATTGGTTGATAAACAAGCGAGAAATGAAATGAATCAGTGCATGAAAATGGTTCTGAGAAAAATGCATTTCAAAGTTCTCATAGAAACCAATGGTACAATGATATCTAAAACATAATTTATTCTTCCTTTTAACCTGGTTAGACAATCAACATTGGTTTTTAATGAAAGTCTAGCATATTTAGAAAAGACTGACATCGAAAAAAAAATTTCAATTTTTTTCAAAAAGTTTTTGTTACCTTAGTGACATCACTAATGTTTCAAAATATTTTTGATATGCTAAAACATTGAAGTGGCCCATTAAATATGGCATTTTATTATTGAAATAGTGTGTCCTTTGTTCAATCTTTGCATTGGTGTTAAAAAGATACTCTTTTTTGAAATGCATTAATAAATATTTGATGATTAAAAAATTTCAACTTTTTTTGAAAAATGGCGGGAAATTTGAATATTTGAGAAATGAAATGCTCACAACTTTTTTTCAAAATTTTTTTTTTTTCAAAAATCTCTAAAATCACTTTTTAAGTCCTGACAAATAGTAAATGAATGATAAAAAAATATTTTCAAACTTTAGACGGGGACTTTAATAAAATTACAACAATCATTTCGTTCTTGGGAGAAATAGTAATGTATTAATATAACAAATGTGATATTTTATTAATGGTAAATTAACTTATATAAACATTGCGTACTGTTAAACAATTGTTGATTGCTCTATATAGAATTCATCAAAGTTGTTAAGTTATCAAGAGACTAGTAGATGAAGCTTTTTTAAGATACAAAGGATATTTTATGATGGGCAGATTGAAATAATTTTGGAACATGGTGTTAATTTGTGAGACTATGTTAAAAAGGTCAAAAATATTGGCCAGATTTATGTTATGTTGTTTTTCTCAATATCTGCCACTCTGGAACAGATTTTCTCTGAATGGATACATATACCATATGGTACATGTGTAATATAATATAAGAATTATTCCAGTTCAAAATACAAATCAGCACCTTAAGATACAACATGGGCTTGAAAGCCCATGGATACAAGTAGGAATCTGACAATTGGTATCTACAGAGATTAATAAAAACATGATTTATTAAACCATGGGCTTTCACTATTGAAATAAATTGATAGAATTCTTCATTATTTGGCTCGTTTATGCCACAATCGCACCCTCCTGACTGAAAGCTGGCTACGCTCCTGAGTCATATTGTCATTTTTCTCAATAAGAAAAGTTAGATGTCTCCAATAATCATATCAGGAGCCAACCTTGATATTGGGCCCGATATTGGGATTACTATGTCAATAATCTGCAAAATCTTATATAATTAACGGGCCTGATGATTACATAACATCATCATTTGATGTTGAGCATATTGAACAATCTAACTTCTAGATTATCTACTTCTGATATGATTTCGCAGATAGTGAAATATCAAAATGAACTTAAATTGTGACCTGTAAATATATATATACGGCGGGGCATGTGGAATTATATCCCAGTGGGGACTGAGCTCCCCCTCCCACATTAACTTACAGCATGAAACCAATTATAGATTTTGTAAACAAAGTTTGAAAGTTATCAGACTTATTCGTTACAACATAATTATTATCATATTTGGAATATGACATTGTCGGTATATTATTACATCCATGTACACTCAATGATTATAACTTAGTTCTGTTAACCAAGAGATTTTAGACGATAAAGTCGACTTACGGTTTTTACTCGACTGCTACACCTCCTTTTGTGTACACTTAAATTCATGACGTCACTTGATTCTGTGTACTCCGCCAAATTTTAAAACGGGTAAGAAACTATTTGATTTATTTTACCTTTTAACTCTTTTAACCAATTGGAAATCTTATCCCGTTACTTCTTTGCAATGGTACTTACTCATTTCAGTTGTAAGAAAGATAGATATACCTTGTGTAATCCGTTATTTATAGCCAAATCACGTTTATAAAGTGAGTTCCATATTATCGCCCAAAAATTATTTCAAAATAAATTGATTTTGACAAAAAATGACAAACTTCGTGTATTACATTGTAGAAATACCTAATTCTTTAGAACACGCAAAATTTAAAATTTAGCGAAAGCCCATAACCTTTAAGGTACAGCTGGAAAGTAACATTTTGGTAAAAAATTGCTATACCTGCACATGTTATTTTCTGGTACAAAATAAAGTATGAAGGCATGTATCAATTTCCTTGCTTTTTTCAGGAAAGTATCATTACATTGTCTTCTTTTAGAATATCTGGTAGGCGTTCAAAGGGAACTCCAGGGAATTCTGATATTTCACACTTCCTGTTTTTCCAAATTTTCTTTCAAAGTTTCCAGACAACACAGGAGCTACCATTGACCTGTTTCCAGGTTTACTAAAAGTAGACAGTGTAATGATACTTTCCTGAAAAAAGCAAGGAAATACACACATGCCTTCATACTTAATTATGTACCAGAAAATAACATGTGCAGGTATAGCAATTTTTTACCAAAATGTTACTTTCCAGCTGAACCTTATGTAGAGTTCATCCTGACATGAAAAATTTTTGCAATTTTATCAGACAGTCACCATGGACGTCAAGTACCTTCTTCGAAACTAGATACATGTAGATATCACTTACAGGTTCACAAAATTTGGACTTCTTTCGCCAGAACACTCACCGTCTGTGACAGTCACTGTAGACTAGATATCTAAATATTTCAGGATCATGGGTTTGTGCAAAAAAACTGGGTAGCCGGGTGGCCGAGTACTCAACAGGTTTACCAACTTTCAAAGTTGCACATTTGAAGACTACCCTTCAATATTTTTACGTTATCATTTTACCAAGAACCTGTAAGAGACTGAGTTTCGGTAGTCCTAGGTAGTTATTTATACAGTTTACACGTACGATGACGTTAGTTGCTTGATTTATTGTCTGAGTGATTGACAGTATATCGATGATTGTTTTCTATGATGGCGATTTCTACTAGATATTAAAAAAATCTGGAAGATTTACGTGCGAGTAAATTAAAACGTTATTTTCCGTTTTATCTGTTAATTAGTATACGATGTACAATACAACGTTAGTTGCTTGATTTATTGCCTCACTGATTGACATTATATTAATTTTGTTTGTCTGTACTGGTACGTTGATCCGTCAGTTGGGCGTTTTGAGGCATAAAATGAAAAAATCAAATTCCTAACCCTGGTAGGAAGGTAGGGTACCCGGCTACCCGGTTACCCGGTCACCCAGTTTTTTACACAAACCCCAGGATCATGATTACACAAAACTTGTGACGAAAATTGCACAAACTGATAGTTAAATCATCAAAAGATTCAAAACGGGCCTGCTTGACAGTTTTTCAAAGTGCACCATTTTAATCCTTCATTCGCCATCAGACATTTGCCATCAGATTGCAGCATTTCTGTTATTAAAAAATAATACACAATTGACTGTGCGGTGTCTGCCTTTGTACTTTTGTATCTGTTTGTTCAAAATGAGTTCATATCCCTGTTTTTATTGGCCAATGGGCATTATATTCATTGTTTTGGGATTATCATACTTAAGGACAGGTAATGTCTTCCATATAGGTAATTGCTTGATGACACATTACGAAAATAGAAATGTCCTCTACTATTTAGATTTCCTAGCTGTAGGAAGATCTAATGATATTGTAAGATCTTAAATTTCATTTTTCAGGTAACTCTGAATGATGGCTCGACCTCCAGGAGATTCCATTGATTCCCTAAGTTTCTTTGCAAAATTGCGACGTGTTGCCAAAAGTATTGACCAGACCCATGATGATTTGCAAAAGGAGCTGTCTCGACCTCTCGGTGACAAAACAAACATATCAGATAGCTCATCTGCTGATTTTGAACTCCTCAGAATAGACAATGAGATATCATCTATAAAGGTTGGTTTACTCATTGGGTAATCTTTGCATTAATGCACATTAAGATATTTGTTTTATTCTAACCTTTCCTCATTAGGTATTCTCTTTGATCAGAATCCATGAGTCGACAATTCAGGGCAATGCATCTTTTTCACTTCAGAGTTCATATATTGAGGGATGTGTGAAATATTTTGTTGTATTTTTGATGACATGATGCTACTTTGGCCAATCAGAATACTGGGATTCTAGCATTGGTATTTTAAAATCAAGCATAGTTATTGGTTGCTTTTTAGTTATTTTTTCTTTCATACATCATTATACTCGATTACATATCATAAAAACTTGGCAAATTCATCAAAAACATCTGTTTTATTTATTCCAGAAAGAAGCTCAGGGTTTATACATGTCAACAAGAAAAAACACATTTTCTGGTTTCCTGAAAAACTGTCAAGCTCTTCTCGATAACAGATCATCTCAGCTGTCACATATAGAGGGCGAGTTGAAGAAATATGGCTTTACTCCAAAAATTTCTACTGAACAACCTGTGGCATCGGAATCAACTGAATCCACCAAGACTTTCTCACACGAAGCCAAGGAGAACCTGCCAGGGTATCACCCAACGACTACTGAAGCGTATCCTTTGGAAATAGAACATTTAATTGGTCCCTTTCGGATCATGCTTTGGAGCATTATTTCCTCATTTGGTGAAAGAGCATGATAATTTAAGGGATTTTAACGATGTTGAATTTAAAGAAATTCATGTTTAATTCATGATATAACCAATGGCAATTCAGAATATTAAGAAAGTGTTGACTTCTTTAACTCATCCAGTTCCACTCCACCTCCTAAGGAAAATCCAGGACGTGTCATGGCACCAAGAACACCAAAACTTGAGGATTTTGGTGTAAGCGCTGGTACATTAATGGCTGTGTCCAGACTTAACAACCCAGGAAAGGCTGGCGAATTCAAAGTTCCTCAACTTAACAAGTAATTAGACATAAACTATTCAAATATGATAGCAATTGTGTTCTAGAATTTCAAATGACTTTTTAGATACAGAGTTGCATATATTAAATTGTTACCAAAGCTCCCACTATGGGCATCTTTTTATTATTATATTGTATCTTGTTAACTGGTAAACACCACATAGGTGAGGTGCTCAATATTTTACATAATACACGTACATGTACATGTATTAACATTGGAAGTCAGACCCAGATTATCACTCTTTGTTATTATCCTCCTTGGTTAATATTTACTATTCAAAACAGCTTCATTCTCATGTGTCCCATATCTTCCCTTGTAAGAATCACCCCCGCCTTTTCTTTTGATTAATGTTTATTATTGTGATGTTTCAGTCATCAGCTTCCAGGGAGTACCACTATTCCCACCCCATTCCAGAACACTGGGCTCTATGTCACTCCAGGCATTGGTGACGTCTTCTCAAATGTCTCAATGACACCTAATGATAGAGGTAGTTGCTTATTTTAAAAAAAATTCTTTCTTTTGCAAATTAAAAATGCCAAAAAGGCCAAGCTATCACTGAAATATGAGGGTTGTATGTAATATCAGTCAGGAGTTGTTTCAAGATTGCTTCATGAAATCAGCCCTGCATGGATAATAAAAAAGAGTTAATAGAGCAACAAGTTCAGAACTTCTGGAAAAATTCTCATATTTATTAATATAACTTTGCTTCTGAGAATATTTTAAGAAAATTTATGATTTGATTACCCTTCATGTTATTGATAATTCAAATCAATTAAAAAATTACATTGTCAGTGACATTTTTGTGATCATAAATTTTATTAACCTGACTGTGTTAACCCATCAGAAACTTGGAATGAAAGCAATGGAATGTTATTGTTGTTTATTTTCATTTCAGGCTACAATCCTAACATAGATAGCCCAGCTTCAGGCCCTGCCACCCCAGCCATGTGCCTGGGCACTGAACAGCGCAATGCACTTGATACACCAGAGCCCCCTATATTTGAAACTCCTGGAGCCCGACAAATTCAACGAACAGTTGCAGAGAAACCATTTGAGATTCGGAAAGTTGTGAAATGTGAATATAACATTGGAGATGAGGAGAGTCCCATACCACCAGTTCTCAGTACACCAGGACTTAAACAAATCTCAAAGGTAAATAGTGATGTCTCTAACATTAAAGTAAATGTGTGTTTCACCAACTTATTTGCGCTTATTAAAAATGAGAAATATCATGAAATAAGTGTATTTTGATCAATATTGTGAAGCTCTAAATCTCTAAATTGTGAAGCTCCAGAATTTTTGATCAATGTTCTGAGGCAAATAAAGATAAAAGAAATGACGAAAGAAAATTCTTAAAGTTGTTTGAAACTTTTCTTATTTCTTTTTTTTCTATTGTCAACTTCCAGTTGAAGGGTCACCCTGTATCAGCAGCACCACAACAGCAGAATATACAGAGTAGCACTAACCAATGGGACAGTCCAGTTCCACCCCTCCTACAGACCCCTGGGATCAAACAAATCAAGAAATCATCCAATCCAAATATTGATGATCTGCCAAGGGGTCCTACTATGGGTTTGAGTATGGATGACGATATGCCACAGACCCCTGAATTGACTATAACCCATGAGGTAGCATACATTTGATAATCTAGTACATGTACAGGATGGTGAAAAATCATAAAAATTGAGATAATATTTTTAAAATTGCTCTGTCTGGTATCCTTTTCCCATTTGCAACTTATATTGGTCCAGTATTCCTGTTTACAGTCTGTTTGAACATCCTTAAAGATAGTTTCATATCCTGTGTTTACTTAGGGAATCAGCAAATGGGCCAATCAGGTGCAACCAACAACCATACCACAACCTCCCTGTTTTCAAACTGGAAACCCCCAAATGGTAGCAGGCTTTCATATGGGGCTAACACAAGAGTCAGATGATCTGCAGCCCCCTATTCTAGAAAGTACAAGACCTGATAGATTGGATGAACTTCCACAGGTACAATTTATTTATTTCTCCTAATATAATCAAAATGTAGAATCTGTTATAAAGCAAATAATCTGCAAGCAATATGGATGTTGATATACAGGTAGGAGGTCAGCATCTCACAATAGGAGAGTATTAAAAGTTCATATTAAAATCTGTAGACCAAATTTCATTTTGAAGATGGAATGTTCAATTGTATTTATGTGAAACATAATCCTACTACAGGTTTCAACGTTTCATGTTAGAGATTTGTTTTGAAAATGAAAAAATAAAATGAGGTGATTCACTGAATTACCATCATCCACTTTTAAGTGAAAGGCATGTGCTCTATACATTGACTCTCTTGTTGTGTCACTTTCTATTTCCCCAAACTAGCTTGTGTTTAGAGTTTCCAGTGGTGGAAGGTCACATAATAATAGGACTGGTCTGCAGTATTGAGTAACAGCACAAGTTTTCCCTCGTTGAGGTGTAAAGTCTCATTTTAACAATTTTGACCAAATTTTTCATGATTCACATATTCTTGGAGTGTTTGTAGATCAGGGTTTTTATGTGGATGCCAGCCTGTTCTCAAAACCTCAAATGCACTGGCCACTTGCTTCTATGCTTGGAAGATCACTGAAAAGATATATATTTCCAGGCCCCAGATCTGCTGTCCCAGAAGCTACAACTAGGAGATGATGAAGATGACATGCCCGAACCCCCTCAGTTTACTGGAACGTACAATTTCTATCCTACAACAGTTGAACAAGCCCCTGTTTTCAAATCACCAGACCGCGTGGAAGTAAAGGAGAAAAGGTATGTTATTGATTGATGGCCCTTGTTTTCAAATCACCAGATCTTGTATAAATTAACTCTTAGCCTGGAGCATTTGAATTTGAACCTAAGGTCTGGTCTGCCATTTCTCAATAACATAGTGGACGAATATTACTTGATGCCATGAATTTTGTGAGTTAAGTATACTTAACGGCAGACTGCTAAGTGAAAAAAGTTTGTAAATGTAAATAAAGAACCTCTAATTTCAAATCCCCAACAATGGCGTGTTGTGTTGGACATGACCTATATAAGCTACCATCAAATTGAATAAGTAAAGCAGGGTGAAAACCATTAATGTCTGAGTCTCATTCGCTCTGATTCATCGGATGACGACCGACCATGGAGTATTTAGTTTAAAATTGTATTCAGTTTTGAACAAAAATACTTAACCGGCCACCGGACAATAAATCTGATGAAATGTGACTCAGGTTGCAAAATGTCACTACCTGCCATATGTTACAGATGCTAACCACAGAATGCCAAATGCCAAACACCAACCTCTGAACACCGTCCTCAAGAGTTGGAAACCGTAACAATATGTATCACTTTCACCAATTGTCATACAATATCATATTAATTCCAGGATGCTTTACCTGGATGAGGGTGAATATTTGACATTGAACGATTACCTTCAGAGCATGTTGTCTCTAGATGTCATTAACTCTGCTATTGATGGCATCAATGCTCTGTTTGACAAGAAGATACGAGGTAGGCAATGAATGATCTCTTACTCTTGAAATAATTTTAAAATCAGCAATTTGCAGCACCAAAAGGTACTTGGACATAAACTTTCTTTTAATGTTAATAAAAAAGTCCCTTCCTTTTAAGCTCTCTTTGACAATTGGGACTGATGCATTTTTTAAGTCTAAAGAGACAGATTTCATCTGGGCCAGGTGTCTTTTTTCGCCATTAAAAAAAATATTTTGCCTTATATTAGGAGTTAGGGCATTGTAATGCAAGTGAAATATTTAATGCAACTTCTGATTTATTTTATCCTATAGATGGTATGGCAGAGACTGTTACACAGACAGAGGTTCGGGAACTACTCAACCTTGGACCATTTACAAAATCTCTACTACTTCTGTTAATGAAACTTCATAGACTGAAATCTACAAGTAAAACAGCCAATGAGGCCCATTTCACAAGACTCTGAACATTACATGGTACACACCAATGGTAAACACAACACATCAAGAATACAGAAACAAGAAATACAGACTTTTAGGATGTTAAAGTCTATATATGAAATAGCTTGCAAGTCTAACTGAAGAAATGGGATGTCAGAATGTTTAATGATGTCCCCATGTATTGCAAACAAACTTGCTATCACAACACATTTCACACAGACTGACAGAGTATTATTCAGCCAAGAATGTAAAGAGAAAAATTGGGAGGATGTCAAAATATTAAAATGTTGCAACAAATACTACTGGATATAACCAAAATATATCTTTCATATTTAATATCTTAGCTATAATAAATTCATACTTGAGCATATAGGCTAAATACAGTGAAACAGAACAGCAACACCTGTCTAGTCCGAACCCCACTGGGACTTACAAAAAGCATTCAGATTAAAAAAGATGTTCAGATTTCAAGGCTTCTACATTCAAAGGATTTAGGACTTTAAGAAATATGAACACGTTCCCCTCGCTTCAATAATTAAAGCTCAATTAAAGGTTAATATTTCAATTATGACTGTCATTATGAAAATTGAGAGGTTATTTTAACATTGGAGTCAATGGGAGGAAAATGGGACTGAAAAAGTAAACCAGATGGAGTCAGATGTTTAGATATATAGGTTTCACTGTGTTTATATAGTATTTTGTATCTGATGATCTTTGATCAAATTTAACAAACTAACTTCAAACAAGCTATATTATACTCATTTCACCCTTGTCTTGTAAGAATAACTTTCTTTATCACATGTTATGTACCATGTACATATAACTAGGGTATTGTAAATACAGATCTAAACAAGGCATTAACATGACAAAATGTCACCACCTAAAACAATTTGGTCAATTTAAAGCAAGTTGGAAAATACCTTTTGACCTTAAGAAGGTTTTTGAAGATTTGAGCTTCTGGGATCTTGTAGATGATTTTGAAAAAAGAAATTGTTCAATCTGAAGCAAGTTAAAACAAGTTGAAAAAAGACCTTTTTGACCTTGAAAAGGTCATTGAAGGTCAAATGTCAAATCTAAAGTCAGATTTGAACTTCTGAGAACATGTAGATGATTTTGAAGAAAAAAAATTAGTCAATTTGAAGCAAGTTGAAAAAAGACCTTTTTGACCTTGAGAAGGTCATTGAAGGTCAAAGGTCAAATCTAAAGTCAGATTTGAACTTCTGAGAACTTGTAAAGTCAAATTTGAACTTCTGAAAAGATCTAGATGATTTTGAAAAAAAAATTTGGTCAATTTGAAGCAAGTTGAAAACAGACCTTTTTGACCTTTTTTGACCTTGAGAAGGTCATTGAAGGTCAAATGTCAAATCTAAAGTCATATTTGAATTTCTGAGAACATGTAGATGATTTTGAAAAAAAAATTTGGTCAATTTGAAGCAAGATGAAAAAATACCTTTCTGACCTTTTTTGACATTGAGAAGGTCATTGAAGGTCAAATGTCAAATCTAAAGGTCAGATTTGAATTTCTGAGAACATGTAGATGATTTTGAAAAAAAAATTTAGTCAATTTGAAGCAAGTTGAAAAAAGACCTTTTTGACCTTTTTTGACTTTGAGAAGGTCATTGAAGGTCAAATGTCAAATCTTAAGTCAAATCTAAAGTCAGATTTGAATTTCTGAGAACACGTAGATGATTTTGAATTTTTTTTTAGTCAATTTGAAGCAAGTTGAAAACAGACCTTTTTGACCTTTATTGACCTTGAGAAGGTCATTGAAGGTCAAATCTTAAGTCAAATCTTTAGTCAGATTTGAATTTCTGAGAACACGTAGATGATTTTGAAAAAAAAATTTTGTCAATTTGAAGCAAGTTGAAAACAGACCTTTTTGACCTTTTTTGACCTTGAGAAGGTCATTGAAGGTCAAATGTCCAATCTAAAGTCAGATTTGAAGGTCAAATGTCAAATCTAGTCAGATTTGAATTTCTGAGAACATGTAGATGATTTTGAAAAAAAATTTAGTCAATGTGAAGCAAGTTGAAAAAAGACCTTTTTGACCTTGAGAAGGTCATTGAAGGTCAAATGTCAAATCTAAAGTCAGATTTGAACTTCTGAGAACATGTAGGTGATTTAGAAAAAAATTGAAGTCAGTCTAAACAGTATTTGTTAAGTTATAGGAAGTTGTAAGAAATTGTTACAGACGCCGGACGCCAACCGCCGTCGCAAAAAAACGGAGACCATAACAATATGTCACCACTTTTGATGGTGACATAAAAAACGGAGACCATAACAATATGTCACCACTTTTGGTGGTGACATAAAAAACGGAGACCATAACAATATGTCACCACTTTTGGTGGTGACATAAAAATATATTATAGTATTATATATTTTAAAAACCTTGTGCTTCATCTTCATGCTTGATCTTAAATGGTTTGATACTGTGTTTTAAAATGCAAAAATATGGTACTGAATTCTCCAGTTGATTAGGCTTGATTGGTAAAGGGATGGTCCGAATGTAAAAAGTTATGGAATAACTTACAATAATTTTGTTGGGAGTTAATGTTTTCATGACAATTTTTTGTAAGATTTAAGTGATACCGAAAGGCATGGCAGGCCACTGTGGGATTAAAACATAATGGAATCAACTTCATTTTCCACCACTTTCAACATTTGGTCACCATCCCTTGTACCAGGGTTTCAAGTTTTGAAACAAAATCACAAACTAAACAATTATTTTGTTCATATTATATATTTCACAAATTTACAGATGACAGGTTTATACAAGTATAATAATATGTATAAACATGATCAATATTTTCTTGCAAATCATACAAAATTACACCTTCCTCACAATATTCTCACCTCAGTATGTATATTCTTCCCTATGTTGTAAAGCTCAAATTTGACTAAGTATAAAACATATTCTAAGAGAAATGTACACTTTTAATTAATCGTCCAAGGCTGTAAATTAACATAAATATACAAGGAGACATTAGTACAAAATCTAATATTTTACAGAACTCTACAATTTATAAAAACATTATGTTGCGTAACATTCTCTGATCAAGAGTGCCCATAACTTCAAAATTTTCATAAAACAAAGCACTGCACAAGTTTCCAGGATTTCAATATGTCCATTACTAATAAGAATCCATATCCAATGTATCCAAAACTTCAGATTATGGACACCCTGTTCAGAGAACATAAATGTTTTCCAACATACAGATTGATTCATCAATTTTTTACATTTCAATATCGAATTACATTTCGAATATTTGTTTTTTTACAATTTGAGATCTCGCATATAATAAAATATACACAAAAATACATTCATGGAAAAATCAGGCACCTGTTCATCCGATCTATACAGTTTAAGACTAAAGTGGTGTTGAAAATCTAAATTGATAAAAAAATTGATTGTTCAAAATAAGGCCATTACAATGGACATTATGATGTTAGGCTAGGGTAAATAAATTCTGTTTAACATTTTTGTTTTTACAAGAATTAGGAATTTTTCTTTTAATTTTTCTTTTATCCTCATATTATATTATATGCACAGATTTTATAAAGTATATGTACTTGAAAATGAAAGACGAAACGATAAACATTAATTTATCGACTCCAGCCTTAGCGCTTTAAATTGCTAGCGAGGCTATTTGATTGAACATTTTTCCTTGCGAAAACTGCAAAAAACTTTAATTGTATCAACACATTAAAAACCCGCTTATTCCCTCAAAGATTGCTGTAATTTATTACAATCATTTTTCATATAAATGTGCATTCCATAACTAAAATTCAACTTAATGTTGAGTACTACAAAGCAAATAAACTGATCCCAATGAAGACGTACTTAGATTTATATACAGGTAGAAGTTTCAAATGAGGTTAGGTACACATGCTTTGTGTGTGGCCAAATTTTTATATAATTTACAATGGCTTCACCAGACTGCAAGATGAGAGGGGGGGGTGACCTTTGCCATGTCCATACTCTGAACACAGGACTCCAAGATGAGGAATAACTCCTCAAACTGGTTATAAGGGAAACATTGTGGCCAAGCCCTGGAAACATGTGTTCTGAGAATGAAATTGGTATTTTACATTTTAATTTTCCCATAAAAGGTTCAAACCGACCCCTTGAAGTGTATTCTATGTGGGCAGTCCATATATGCTTAAGCTTTCAAATTAACGCGAAAATTGTTGTTTCTTCCCAAACTTTACCAACCCAAAATTCCACAAAAAAACACTAAATTCCTAAAGTGAACACTGCATGCGAAAACAGAAATCAAGGACACCTTCGATGAAACATGTCCAGAAAAGAAAGTTTTCCTATTTCCATTATGCAATTTTGAATTTTGGAACATTTTAAGTCATCAGAGCATGGATGAAACATTCATTCATTCATCAATATTGAATTTGGAGCAAAATACTGAGAATACATCAAGAAAATACCAAGTGCATTGTAAGAAGCAAAACATTCCCCTCGCCTCATTTTGGCAGCACATGTGTTTGGCCCATGTATAGGACCTATAGGAAATAACAAGATGCAACATACAATGGGAGTTTGTACTGGATCCATGAATCACCCTGTTATAGTGAATTGCATTGTAATGTTACATTGCACAAATCACACATGTCTCTACAGTGTCATGGTAGGGGTCTTGTATCCAATTAATGCATGTATCCCTGTAATGTATAATATATCCAATTAATACATATATCCAGTTATATATCCAATACTTGTTTTGACTGTATTCAGGTCATCTGTACAGTTGACAAATGTGGCTCATATATCTAGATTCCGATCCTGTATTCCGCTCATATATCAATTCCGATCCTGTCCATGTATCTATTATCCATGTTATGTATTCAGTATCCACATCCCATGTCAAAATAATGTCTCCATATGTTGTATCCAGGTGATGTATCCATGTGTTATATCCATATGATGTATCAATTTAACATATCCAGTTCATGAATATAGCCCAAACATTACAGAAAATGAAATTTAACTTTTTTCATACAGAAAATGAAAACAAAAACTTAATCATGATTTTTAGAAGTTTTTCAGCCAGTGATATGAGAGTGAAAGATGATTCTTTAACAGCCTATAAAAAGCAACAAATATGAAATATGCCACAAAACTAAATCTGTATATAATAATACCAACTACACCTCACGGATCTATATATAGTCTTATGTGAAGACTCAAGAAAATATGGCAAAATAGTCGACTTCCAACTTCTAAATGTTAATGAATGGAGGATTGAGGCACAATAGCCTCAATATAACATGACATATTAGATAATTTGTTCCATGTAAATGATTGAAAGGTTGGAGCATTTCTTGTGATATGTGGCCTACACTGTATACAGAAGTCTCTAGGAATGCTCTTGAATAAATATGATCTCAATGTACAACAGCAATGATTTATGAATTATGGAGACTTTTGAGACAAACAAAGCAAAACTTATACTTTTTGACCAGTTTTAATATTCTTTTGACTATCTTTCCACTAAAAGTTCCAAAATAGGCCTATCCTTGTTTTTCATATTTTCAAAAGTTGGCGATAGTGTACATTTCCTTTTAAATATAGGCTTGAATGTGTACTCATGTTTAATTGTGCTCTACTTCTGCTAGGTCAGAACTGTTTTTACGTTTAACTTCCACATAAGGGACTGCTTTGTTATGAAAGGTCGCATCAGTTTGTTTTCCTGTTTCCTGATTGGTTGATTGAATGTGCTGCTCAGCCGCGATTGGAGGAAGTGGGGATGCTTTCTTCAGGGATGGATCGACTCCTGGATTCACAAAATATAAATATAAAATTTATTAATTATTGTCTATGAAAACAATATGCCATAGCAAAATAAAGTAAAGTGTTTTGTTTCCTTTATTTTCAATTTTCACAGCGAAAAACTATAATACAGTAATTGAGATGGATATTAGTGTAATTTATATAGATACAAATGTATTATTCATATCCTACAGTTTACCAAAGTATTAATTCAACAAATTAGAGTAATTATTCAACAAAACAACACTCAATATTATTTTACTTTAATTAAATATTTAACATTGTATTTTATAAAAGCAGTGAAGCATGTCAGAATAATTGCCTAATAAATGTCTATTGAAAGCTTGTAAATCAAAATTTAACCAAATATATGACAAACATTGTGCTTCTTATATAAACAGGGAACACTTGAGTAGTCTTATCAATCATAGTCATAATCTTTTAATCTATCAACATCATATTGATTACTTTGATAAATGGGAAAGACCATAAACAAACATTAATATAGGGACATCAGGGGAGGAGAGGGGCATGGGTTAGGGAGAGGCATCAATAAAAGGATATCAAGAGAGAACAGGGGCATGGAAATAGATATCAGGGAAGAACAGGGACATGGATTAAGGGGGTGGCATAAATATGGGGATATCAGGGAAGAACAGGGGCATGGATTAAGGGGGTGGCATAAATATGGGGATATCAGGGAAGAACAGGGGCATGGATTAAGGGGGTGGCATAAATATGGGGATATCAGGGAAGAACAGGGGCATGGATTAAGGGGGTGGCATAAATATGGGGATATCAGGGAAGAACAGGGGCATGGATTAAGGGGGTGGCATAAATATGGGGATATCAGGGGAGGACAGGGGCATGGGTTAGGGAGAGGCATCAATAAAAGGATATCAAGAGAGAACAGGGGCATGAAAATAGATATCAGGGAAGAACAGGGGCATGGATTAAGGGGGTGGCATAAATATGGGGATATCAGGGAAGAACAGGGGCATGGATTAAGGGGGTGGCATAAATATGGGGATATCAGGGGAGGACAGGGGCATGGATTAAGGGGTGGCATAAATATGGGGATATCAGGAGAGAACAGGGGCATGGAAATAGATATCAGGGAAGAACAGGGACATGGATTAAGGGGGTGGCATAAATATGGGGATATCAGGGAAGAACAGGGGCATGGATTAAGGGGGTGGCATAAATATGGGGATATCAGGGGAGGACAGGGGCATGGATTAAGGGGTGGCATAAATATGGGGATATCAGGAGAGAACAGGGGCATGGAAATAGATATCAGGGAAGAACAGGGACATGGATTAAGGGGGTGGCATAAATATGGGGATATCAGGAGAGAACAGGGGCATGGAAATAGATATCAGGGAAGAACAGGGACATGGATTAAGGGGGTGGCATAAATATGGGGATATCAGGGGAGGACAGGGGCATGGATTAAGGGGTGGCATAAATATGGGGATATCAGGAGAGAACAGGGGCATGGAAATAGATATCAGGGAAGAACAGGGACATGGATTAAGGGGGTGGCATAAATATGGGGATATCAGGAGAGAACAGGGGCATGGAAATAGATATCAGGGAAGAACAGGGGTATGGATTAAGGGGGTGGCATAAATATGGGGATATCAGGAGAAAACAGGGCATGGATTAAGGGAGCGGCATTAATATAGGGATATCTGGGGAGAACAGAGGAATGGGAATGGAAAGGGTGCCTGGGGATAAATGCACTTAACAATAGCAAATATTGCACAGCAACATGGTAAAGTATACATGCAATACTTTACTTAAGAGGTATTGAAAATGCATAAAAAACATTTGAAGGTGCAGTGTCAAAGAAAGGGATTTCTGCCTTATTGTGTAACATAGCAGCAGAAACTATGGGGCAATTAAGAGAGCATCTATTCAAAATAAGTTTTGTAATTGCTCTTATCTAGAACAGTAATATGATGTTTCACATCTAAAACACTTGTACTTAAAAGGGAGGACATGTTAATTATAGCAGTTTTTCTAAGTTTTCTATTATTTGTTACAAATATTTCAAATATCTTGTTTGCAGTACTTTTTCTCAAAGGCTACATGCTAATAAAGTTGAAAAATGAAAGTATTTCTGACTACCTATGACATATTCTCCCTTTAGTTTAAGTGAAAGCTCTGTGAAAAAGCATGCTCATTTGGATCCTTAACTTACCGTGAATCTATACAGACTTACAGTTTAATGTGAAGACACATAAGGAGTTGTGAACCCAGAGCCTAGGGCGCCTAGAAAGCACCATCACATCATACAAAATACAGTCTGGTACACATACCCAAGGAAACATGGTGGTAAAAAATGTACTGGGAGTTCATATTTCTTGGAGATGTGCATGATACTGCTTACACAATTCAGTCTGATCCAAAGCCACTAAAAAATTGACTGGTTCTGTTATAGGTTACTTCCTGTGGCTTTGGGTTAGATAGAAAACAGACAAATCCCATATGATCTTGCATGAAGTCTATAGTTCTCCAAAACCAACCTCTATTTTCAAAACAAAGAGGGGGGTTTATGAAGACTTGACGCAAGACCAGCCAATAATCCGTAACCCATCCATTCATATATGCCCATATTTTGCAAAATGTGAATGACACATATTGTAATTAAATGAAAGCCGTTCTTGCATTTAAATACAAAGTTTGAGCATCATGGGTCATAATAATAATTATGGCATTTGATATGAAACAGATTCTTACTTTATTTTGATATCAAATACCCTCAAGAAATACAACATTCTTCAATCAAAACTCGTAGATTTTGTATTCAAGAATCGCAGATATAAAATACTCTTCAATGACACAGGGACGAAAGACTCACAGGGTTGAATCTACGGAGGTTTACTGCATAAAGTATAAGACAAGACCAAACGTGACAACTTTAAAAGCAAAGCACTTTCTGAGTCATTATGTCAGATTATAATATATTTTTTCTTTTCATTTTTCATTAACTACTTGTATACCTCATCTGGTCAAAAATGTGACAAAAAATAACCTCAGGCAATCCATTTTTAGAGCAAACTTTTTCCGCTAAAAACGATGTCAAACTTTGGCAAATATGATTTTCCTCAAATTACCAACTAAATGAGTCAATGCAGAACATTGTTTCTGCCTGTCAACTCTGAGTGATAAATATCACACCTTTGAAGAACAAAATTGTAACTTCATAAATTACCCAGCATGCCCAAGACCTAATCAGATCTTGGCACTAGTCTTAATGACAGAGAATTGTGCCGCTTGCCCACCTATTCATCAGCGCAACAATATAGCAATTTTCAAGTGTGATAGAACCCTCTAGTATTTTAAAGAAATGTTTAATTTCAACAGACAAATGTGTTAGTAACTACAGTTACATCAGACAACTTGAAATGTGCGAGACTTAATGAAAAGAGAAAAAATGATATAATATATGACAAAACCTTTTATACTTATACCTAAATGTGACCTACTGGACAGTCAAACTGAAGTAACTAAAACTATAAAAAATAAAGAAAAGTATAAAAATCTGGTGAGAATGTATTTTCTCATCTAGCATGTAAGAATTAAAAAATATGACAATATATAAAAGCACATTGAATCTAATGTGAAAACCATGACCTACACATATTCCATTTATTTCATACACAGCAGTTCGATTTGGAGAAATTTTTGCAATCACAAAAATCTCACTTTTGAAAACTCTATTCACACCCACTCTGCACATTTATTCTGCCACTAACACACTTTCAGTATTCAATGAGCACATTTATACATCATACTCACTTAACAAACATATCCCTCATTCACTTAGAATACTATAAGTTATTCAATGATTCGAGTGAAATACAGAAAATATTCTTCCCGAGAAGGTCGTATTTCACGATGCGCTAGCAGAGTGAAATACAGACGTTCAAGGGAAGAATATTTTCTGTATTTCACGAGAAATCATTGAATAACGTTTTTATTCCATGATTACTCAGATAAAACTCCCCTAAATCAAGTCCATTTCCTTGTCTTGGGACCGGAGAAACAGATCAACCTTCTCACCTCAAAAATATTTTACATCGATGTTTTTTCAAAATCTTTTCGGCCTTGTTGTTTTGCTTTTATTGTATTATACGATACGTTTGATTTTCTTAAACATTTTTCTTCAATTTCATCAGCTTGAACAGTGTAACGAAACCTTTATTCGACTTTCGTCTGCCTTATTGGATTTTTACTTGTTCATGAAAACAATGTGCATGCTTCATACTGATTTTTTTATAATTACAAATGAGTGTCTTTTATCCTAAAATAATAAATTGTGGTGATCACCGTATCATTTCCTGATAATCAAATCAGATATTTCTAGCAAAATGCAAATATTAGCATGCATTGGTGTAAACAGATCGCCATTGATTTTTTCAGTAATAGTCATATCCTGGATGGAAATCTGGGGCGTTGGGATACTGGACCGTATCCCAACGCTGACGTCATTTTCACTCTGTATTCAATGCTAAGTGGAAAGTGCGTATATACAGGATATATTTAAGTCACATGGACCAATCAGATTGCAGGGAATTTCACCATCATGGAATAAAGTATACTTATCCATGTACTCGTCTAGCACATTTACCCATGGGCTCACTTATCCCTATGATCACTTAACACAATTATCATTATACTCACTTAGCACACTTATCATATGCACTCATTTATTCCTACCAATTCATACATTCACTTATCCTTAATCATTATACTCACTTAGTATACTTATCCACACACTCACTTAGCACACTTACTTAGCATACTTATCATTAGACTCACTTAGCACACTTCTCCTTATACTCACTTAGCACACATATCTTTATACTCACTTAGCACACTTACTTAGCATACTTATCATTAGACTCACTTAGCACACTTCTCCTTATACTCACTTAGCACACATATCTTTATACTCACTTAGCACACTTACTTAGCATACTTATCATTAGACTCACTTAGCACACTTCTCCTTATACTCACTTAGCACACATATCTTTATACTCACTTAGCACACTTACTTAGCATACTTATCATTAGACTCACTTAGCACACTTCTCCTTATACTCACTTAGCACACTTATCTTTATACTCACTTAGCACATTTTATCTTACACTCACTTAGCACACTTATCCATACACTCACTTACATAGCATCCCTAGTCACAAAACACTATAATCCTTACACTCACTTATCTAAACTTTCAAACTCAACGACACTTTCTCAACTCACAGCTGTGTATGGAATAAATTTACCCTAAAGCATCTATCCATGAACAACCAAACATTTAAAACACAAACACATAATTTCTATGAAAAACATGTACCTTCATTTGAGTCTATCAAAACATATCTGTGTTTATTTTTTCGACCTAGTAAGAATTTGAAAAGGAGCATAAGTTGATAGTAGCAACAGTAAGATTTGACAATGAAAGACTATCTAACTTGGAGACTTAGGCAAAAAGTAAAATGAAGAAAATTGCATGCATTTTGACAAGAAGTTTTAAATATACATGTACAACTGTTAATGTAATAGAAATGTCTCTAATCATGCAAATTCCACTCATTTTCTCTTTAATTATGAATGATTCATGGCTAATTTTTGACCAATCACATTCTTGCTTCCCCAATTCTATACAATTCCATTCCTTTTTGGTATTTAAAAAAATACCTCTTGTGTATGAAATTTGAATATTTTAAAACATGTTCTCATCATATAATGCAAAATGTGGGAAGAGTGAAAATAGCGAGGAATAAAATTAAAAAATTAAAAAGACAAATGGGCAGAAATGAGGCAGGCTGGGCATCAGAGAAAATAACTGTAGAATTAGCATGATCATGTATGACTTTCTAACCATAACTATAGATTCAATACACAAACAGGATGATTAGAATTTCAATTCATTCCTCATTATGTTACAATGGAGCAAATAAATATCACTCTTTGCCAAATTAATTTTTCACTTGAGTAGAACACTTCAACCATTCTGAAAATAATGTAAATTTCGTCCTGCAAATTTTTCTCTCAATGGTGGCTTTTTCCAAGCAAATGTGACAGACTAAAAGTTTGCAGAGTAATTTTTTTAAAAATATATTTATGTAATTTCTGGAAAAAAATATTACACTTAATGCTACCCCCTCCTCAAAATGATATAAAAACTTGACACATGACAGGAGACTATATTATGTCTATTATTTCATTACTGTATCACACAGAACACAGACAGGAAGGAACATGGTACAAGCTGACATGAGGAAATGAATGAAATAACCAAGGGAGTGGATGACAGAAAATCATTAAACTGATCATGAATGGTATATCCTGTGATATCCCCAGATTCAAATTCACCGGCTATTGAACCCAGTCGTGATTACAATCACACACATGGCTTAACTGGGCTTTATGTATGAAACATCAAAATTAAGAAGAGCCAGAGAGAGGAACAGCCTTGTACCATATTCCCATATAGCAAAACTCCATGCAAAGGTCTAATGCAATATACACAGTCTAGTGAACATCATCTCAAAAACATGACCTATCATTACTGACTCATGAATGGAAGGATAACCTTAAATTGGGCCATTTCTTTGTGCTGTTCATTAGACTGGGAAATATTCTGATCATGCTGGGTCTTACATCAAATACAAAACATGAAGGGGAATCAATGCATATATTGTAAAATATTGTAAAGATGTTAATCATTCCAGATTTTCATTTAAAGATATTGAATTCTACATTTAATTTCCAAAACAATTTGATATTCTTTTATCTATAAATCTGCTAAATCAAAATTTGATAAAACAGTACATGTATGATCATCAGTTTTTTGTATATGGTTTGAACCTTTTTCATGGTAGATTCTTCTTTGGGTGCTTATTGTACATTTTTCCAATTTTCTATAAGTATGCAAGACCCTGCATGGACAAAATGATAAATGTTATACTGTTATGCAAATGGAGTTCAGAAAAAAAACAGTAGAAAGATTTTTACTTCAAACCTCATAGTTTTATCCACATCCATGCCAATGAATGCATGCACTTTTATGCAAAATTCAACATTTTGGTCAACTAGCATTCAAATGCTCGCAAGAGTCAAAGGGATATTCAATACAATCCAAAACAACCATATTGATTCAGAAAGGTCCCATGCATACATTGGAATGGAAATGTAGTAGTACTATACAAGAGACCCCTTGTAAAGGCATCAATTTACTTTTACACTTACCATTTATAGGGGGCAGCTTGTTGTTGGGCAAGGGGTCTGCAGACTGGTAGCCACTGTCAGGAAGTGTGGGGGAGTTGTTTTCATCTTGTTTAGCAACATTGTTTTCCTGTATAGCAACATTGTTGTCATAGCCCTCTGTTGGTGTGTCCTAGAATCAAAATTGTAAACAAGTTATTTTTTGTTAATCTTCAAAAAATAATATTTTAAAAGCTACTGTTTCATTAGAATAAAACTGTTATGTAAAGAGAGATAATAATATTAAAGAAATATATAAATTCACAGTTCTATTTTCAATCTGCATTTTTTAAGGTCAACAGGAGTGAAGGTGTAAATGAAATGTAGCATAACATGCTACTCACCGCTCGGGGAGATGACTGCTTCTCCACCGGATAAGGACCCCCAGGATAGACCCCTGGGGGGTACTGTTGAACAGGATACCCTCCCCCAGAGATAGGGGGATTCTGCATAATCGGCACTGTTCCATAATTGTTTTCTGGCCGCACATTGACAGCATTGTTCTCTTGGGGGAGACCATTTGTTGTCTGTGTGGGGTCGGGGATGACAAAGCCCCGTCTGTCTATTAAACTGTAACAATGCAATGGATTTTGTGAAAACTGGACCTCCACTCTGATTTGTCAAATGAACATTAACAATTTACTAAAACAAGTTTATCTCTGGACAATAAAGCGAACAGCTTACGTTATTTCTGGAACATTCCACTTCAATAACTAATAACTAGAGATCGAACGATCTAAGATTGCAAGCAATCTTACGGAGGCCCTATATTCGTTTCTGAACATTCAAAGGGCAGCCAAAGGTCAAATCTCTAATACAAGGTCATATATGAACTCCAGACAACTTGTAGATGATTTTTAAAAAAGGTTTGGTCGAATTAATGCAAGTTGAAATTTGACCTTGAAAAATTCCGAAATTTGACCTTTTTCAGTTTTTGAGCTATAATATCTCAAAACTGGAGCCAAATTTTAATAGATAATCAATTGCTAATATGTGTAAAACCTTTAGTAGAGGAATATATATTCTGACTTTCATTTCAAAATATTGATTTGTAGTCTCCAATTTTGAGAAACTTAGAAAACACAGTTTGTGATTTCGTTTGATGACCTTGACCTTTGACCTTGCAAATTTTACTTTTTTAGACCTCAGAAGGTCTTTTGTGAATAAATATTCCTAAATTTGAATCCAGAATAATCAAATGCTAATATGTGAAGAAAAAGTGGGGGAATATATATTTAGACTTTCATTAAACAATATTGATTTGTAGTAACCAATTTTGAGAAACTTGGAAAACACAGTTTGTGATTTAATTTAATGACCTTGACCTTGCAAAATGACCTTTTTTCGACCTCTTCGGGTCTTTTGTGATTAAATGCACTTAAATTTGAATCCAGAAAATCGATTTGAAAAATCAACTTTTTTGACCTTTCGGAGGTCACTTAAGGTCAACAAAAGGTCAAGGGTCAAAAGTAAGGTAAGATTTAGAATCCTGAGAACTTGTAGATGAGTTTTAAAAAAAAGTTTGGTCAATTTAGATCAAGTTGAAATTTGACCTTGAAAATTTTCGAAATTTGACCTTTTTCAGTTTTTGAGCTCTAATATCTTAAAACTGGTGCAAAATTTTAAAATATAATCAATTGCTAATATGTGTAGAACCTTTAGAGGAATATATTTTCAGACTTTCATCAAAAAATATTGATTTGTAGTCAACAATTTTGAGAAACTTGGAAAACACAGTTTGTGATTTAATTCAATGACCTTGACCTTTGACCTTGCAAATTTTACTTTTTTGGATCTCTTGGGGTCTTTTGTGATTAAATGCACCTAAATTGGAATCCAGAAAATTGATTTGAAAAATCAACTTTTTTGACCTTTCGGAGGTCACTGAAGGTCAACAAAAGGTCAAAGGTCAAAAGTAAGGTCAGATTTGGAATCCTGAGAATTTGTATATGAGTTTTAAAAAAAAGTTTGGTCAATTTAGATCAAGTTAAAATTTGACCTTGAAAATTTTCGAAATTCGACCTTTTTCAGTTTTTGAGCTCTGATATCTCAAAACTGGTGCAAAATTTTATTGCTAATATGTGTAGAACCTTTAGATGAATATATATTCAGTCTTTCATGGGACAATATTGATTTGTAGTCACAAACTTTGAGAAACTTAGAAAACACAGTTTGTGATCTTGTTTGATGACCTTGAACTTTGACCTTGAAAATTTTACTTTTTTAGACCTCAGTATATCTTTTCTAATTGAATTAACCTAAATTTGAATCCAGAAAATCAATTTGAAAAATCAACTTTTTGACCTTTCGAAGGTCACTGAAGGTCAACTAAAGGTCATAGGTCAAAACTAAGGTCAGATTTGAGTTCCTGAGATCTTGTAGATGCTTTTTAAAAAAAAGTTTGGTCAATTTAGAGCAAGTTGAAATTTGACCTTGAAAAATTTCGAAATTTGACCTTTTTTCAGTTTTTGAGTTCTAATATCTCAAAACTGGAGCAAAATTTTAATAAATAGTCAATTGCTAATATGTGTAGAACCTTTAGAGGAATATATTTTCTGACTTTCAGTGAAAAAAATTGATTTGTAGTCTCCAATTTTGAGAAACTTAGAAAACACAGTTTGTGATTTCGTTTGATGACCTTGACCTTTGACCTTGCAAATTTTACTTTTTTAGACCTCAGAAGGTCTTTTGTGAATAAATATTCCTAAATTTGAATCCAGAAAATCGATTTGAAAAATCAACTTTTTTGACCTTTCGGAGGTCACTGAAGGTCAACCAAAGGTCAAAGGTCAAAAGTAAGGTCAGATTTGGAATCCTGAGAACTTGTAGATGAGTTTTAAAAAAATGTGGTCAATTTGAAGCAAGTTGAAAAAAGACCTTTTTTGACCATTTTTTGACCTTCAATATCTCAAAATCTAGGCAAAATTTTCCTAGACGGCAAATGGCTTAGACTAATAGAATACTAATATCTATCTGTATGCAAAAATTCAGCCAAAAATATTGAAGTGTAGTGTCAGGATTTGAGAAACTTGAAAAACACTTAGATTTGACCTAGATTTTGACCTTTGACCTTGACCTAGATATGAACTAATTTCCCGACAAGTCCAGCCCAGGTCCCTAATAAGATTATATATGAGATAAGTCAAAGCTAGCTGGAAGTTGGAGAAAAAATGCTAAAAAGAATAATAAATAAATAAATAAATAAATAAATAAATAAAGAAGAATAACTACAAAAATGATAGGAGGCCCCTTGAAGGGCCTCCTAATAATGAGGCCAGTCACATTGCTGTATACTTTTTTCTTTAGTAAACATAACTTTACAAATTGTGTGGGTGAAAGGCCTCTTGAGTTAGTATTATTCAACTAAACCCAGCCCTTATAACTTTAATATACATTATAAATACTGACTGATGGAAACATCTGTACAGAGAACAGTTTTCAAAAGTACTGGCATATGATGACCCCCCCCCCCCCTTTGTGAGGAACACCCATCTACAAGAACAATGTTTTTGGGTGTGCCATACATACAGGGTTTACTGTAAACTCTTTGCATAGTTTATACTCTACCTAGGAGGTATAGGTCCACAGATGATGGCCATACAATTGGTGAAAACCCCACCCTGACTATAGGGGTTAAAATTCTCATGGTTCCGCTTTGATGAGAAAGTGCCCTTTATCTGCAAGTATATAACAAGAAAAATTAAACATGGCACTCATCTCTCAAAACAGTGCTGTTTATGTGTTCTTTTCTTTCTTTAAAATGTATTTTTCAATTTTTGGGTTGTCTTATTTCTCATAATTTTTTTCTTATTTTCTATCAATTCAGGTTTGAATGAACACTCTAATTTTCTTTATTTCTATATACATGTTAACTATAAGACCAACATTTCTCCAACATTTCCTTACCTATTTTAGACACTTATATATGTACTGGTACATCACCATATCTGCCTATACTGATAAAGTTCATCTATTGGCAGAATCTGGGTACATTAGAAAATGTCTTACCTCTATTTTCTAGGTCTACTTTGATGTTCCAAGATACAAAGATGCACTACATTAACCCTAATTGGACATTTCATTGGGAAATTGATAAACCGTCATCAACGATGTCATTTGGTAATGACATAATACAGAGCACAAAACAAGGGGAAGGCCAATAATCTCATATTTTTTATTTTGGCATCAACACATGCTCGCCTATTTGTTTCATTTCTAATAATCAATTTCATCCAAATTTAACACTCTAACAAGGTATGAAATAATCTAAATGTTCATTCAAACAATGAATATAATATCCAAATGAACATTGAAACAATGAATATAAATACCCAAATGAACATTCAAACAATGGATAAAATATCCAAATGAACATTCAAACAATGGATATATCCAAGTGAATATTCAAACAATGGATATAATATCCAAATGAACATTCAAACAATGGATATAATATCCAAATGAACATTCAAACAATGGATACTAATAATATCCGAATGAACATTCAAACGATGGATATATCCAAATGAATATTCAAACAATGAATATAATATCCAAATGAACATTCAAACAATGGATATAATATCCGAATGAACATTCAAACAATGGATCAATTATTCAAATGAACATTCAAACAATGGATATAATATCCAAATGAACATTCAAACAATGGATGTAATATCCAAATGAACATTCACACAATGGATATAATATTCAATTCAAACAAAGAATGTAATATCCAATGAACATTCAATCAAAAAATAGACACTGTAATATCCAAAATTTAAAGTCAACCAAAAGATGAATCCATGCAAAGAACAAACCAAGCAAAGGGATAAAATGTACATCATATAATGCGAATAAAACTAGCATTCTGGAAAGCACCATAGCTAGCCTAGCCCTTGTACTAATATCATATCTAAAGCAACAATGCAAGAAAACAACAAGAAACAAATGCCTATCAAAAAGCCAAACAAATGTAAATGAAAAACATAATTGTTCTCATTGCAAGCAATCATAACATATGAACACACCTATCTAATAAATAGGGTTGCCACGATTACACAACAGACATTTATTCAATATTAAGGCACGTGTTTCTTTATTGTTGGACAATGATGGGAATTTGGCAAGAATATTACCAGACATAATCATGATTCATACTTTTACAGATTCAAATTGAGCCAAAGAACCAATTTGCCAAATCAATAGTAAGCATGGCATCCCTATTCATAAGCTCACGACTTACATCCTCGTTGGTAGTGAGGTCTTGACTACATTGCACGGTGGCGATACCAGTCATAAAAATAACGCTCCACATGAACAAAAACGCAGTTACCCCCACCACTAAACTGCACTAAGTTAAGGTCTATGTCAATATTCACGTGTGTGTTAGCTGAAGCGTGCATGTATTTAAAAGCAGTTAAATATAACATTAAATGCATACAGGGATGAATATTTTCGCAAACAAGTTGGAGGCAAGTGGGAACTATTAAGCTTGTTTCACACAAAAGGAAAGATTTCATCACACTATACTATTATACATGCAAGGTTTAACACTTCTTGTATTAACAAACAAACTACATTGTGAGGGTATTTGCTAGCTGCATGCATAAATAATGATTATTTTTGAGCGTTATGTGCAAGCAAGGAAAAAAATTGTATTAAGCCAACAAGGATGAATATTTAATTAGACTCAATGCATGCAAAGGTAAATATGGTTTGGCCAGGTTAGTATATTAAGTTACATTATTTTTGATCAATAAGATTGTGATTGGATTTTAGAAAATCTTAAAATCCTGGAAAATTGAATCCAAGAACATGATTGTAAAATACAGTTTGTTAGATTGAAGAAAAGTTAAAAATCCAATGAGATGTAAAAGCTCTTGAATTTAGAAGAATGTCTACTGCCTTATATTCAATGGATATCCTTATATCCAATGGATATCCTTATATCCAATGGATATTATAAATATTAAGCAAGGAAGATGAAACACTATTAAAGAAAGCAGTTTGACAATGTTGAGAAATAGTTTCTGTGAGAGACAGTATCCTAAGTATCATCATTCTAAAGGATGAAAGCTTGAACTACCAATTGAACAATAACATGAATTTCATGAAGATGCTTGCACCAATTATTGTGTCATATACCTGGCATTTTGAAAGATAACCGGACAACTCATCCCCAAGACAATTCATCCCTGGACAATTGATACAATTGATAAAGGATGAGTTGTCTAGGGGATGAGTTGTCCAGGGAATGAGATGTCCAGGGGATGAGTTGTCTAGGGGATGAGTTGTCTGTAAGCCTTTTGAAAGACTATTATAGCTAAAAATTCAATAAAACGTTGAACAAAACCATGCTTTAATGAGTATAGATGATTCTAATATCGTAACATAGACTAGTGTTAAGGGAATGTTGTCAACCAGCTCTTTTTCCGATACTAGTGAATTGGGCTGCCCATCATGTTATCTGTAAAGGCCTAAAGGCCTACTGTTGAGTGCTAATTAAACCCTGCTATGTTATCACAAATATTACCTCTTCGTTTGTGGTTTCTGCGTTACATATCAGGCCAGAATGGTATCCCAGAAGTCCAAACACCGCAAACGCAGATATAAAAATAACGACAGCCTCGACGGGGGTGGCAAACAGTTAAGGTAAAAGCTACATGCAAATCATTTACACACACTTTAATAGATGGCACATATGCAGTTTAGTAAAATAAAACAATAAGTTCAAAAGATGGCAGGTTTTGTGTTAATTTTTATGCTTGGTTGAAAATGCTTAAAATCTTAAATGTCATATTTCTCGGAAATACAAGCAAACAAAGTTGTTATGACAATCAAGATGTTGTGACTTGTTCAAGGTACAAGATGCAAAATGAGTTGTTATGACAACCTGGAAGCTGTCTGATGTGTAAAATGCAAATAAAGTTGTTATGGCAACCAAGAAGCTAATTAGTAAGATACAAATAAAGTTGTTAAGCGACACAAATTGTTATCTAATGTATGAGATGCATAGATCGCAGATTTAAACCAAATAATGTGCATATTAGATACAATTAAAAATGTGTTGTTTTTATCTAGATTTGAGATGCACACCATGCAATTAATGATCCAGGCAAAGCAAATTGATCATAATACTTTAAAGAACAGGCTGTTGAGGTCGAGCCACTGAGGAAATCTTCAAACTTGCCTCAAATATTAATGAAGTACGCTTAATAATATCTGACATATTTAGGTTCTGATTAGAACTGAACTTTCATAAGAATTTATAATCCAATTGAAATTAGTGAGTAAAATCCCTTCTTTAAAATGAAAAATACACAGAGACGGTCACATTTAGGTAGGGTAGGATTAGTAATGTGGCTAATTAGTAGCTACCTTAACATAGACAAATATGGTGGATATATGATCACACCAGGCCCTATGATTTTAAATGGAGTTTGATCAAGTCAACGTTATATCAAATGGACTATGGTGACAATGTTGAAGTAGTCCTTCCTTGTGTAATACAAACTGGATGGAATTAATAATGGGGTAAATAAGCAGATATTACTTGAGTCCCTGGATTCATACAATTGCTTACCTTAAAGCTTGTATGAAGCTATAATATAGCAGTCATTCAGCTTCCAATTATGGCGGATTGTATAACTTGGCATGCTATATATCTATTAACATGAAACTGTTGCATCGAGTCTTTTGTTTCTCTCACAAACTACTGTTATATTTCTCCAATAATTGAAAGAAGATAAAGTGGAAAACAAAAGAGGTTGAAGCAAGACAATTATCTCGATTATAAACTCCTTACCTGTACTGTATTTACTTTCCTTTGACCCTTCTTGGTATTAATCAAAATAAAGCAAAACAGGGTTTTCTTCCACATGTAACTGTAGATGAACTGGTAAAGAAAAAGTGCAAACCAAAAGATCATGGGAACTTAAGCTTCTCAATATTCTTAGAAACAAAACCTAAGAATTCTTTCATTTTTATCAAGCAGTAATTCAGAATTCAGGAACTACCAGATTCAGGATATGTATTATGAAATTATCAAAAGTGACCCAGCTAAATTATATTTTTCTCCCTGTCCAGTCATAGAAGCATTTTGATTTCAGGCCAAATGTTAAATCTGAATGATCTGCATCAGGTTCACTTTGACTTTGTATATCTGATTCATTCCTCTCTATGGCCGAAGGAGGCAAGAATCGCAATCATTCATCAGCTGATGATCTCTTAACACCCATAGAGAAAAGTAACCATGGTGACATTTTCAAATGCAAAACAGAGTCGAGATGTGATGAATCAACAGAAAATGAATTCAATAGAAACAAACATGACATTCCGAATTGTATGAAAATAAAAGACTTGTAAGAAAATCACACATTTTTTCAGGCATGCAATGAAAAAATGCAAGGAAAAGCATGATTTAAGGTTCAAGTACAGGAACTAGAAATCAATATTTGTATGTCATACCATATATCAGGTTATATTTAATGATGCTGCGACATGACATTGTATAAAAGGACAATAAAATATTATTCCTTGTAAATGAGAGTGACATTTAATCACCATGTGATTATATTTCCTTATTTTACGATCTTGCTTATTTCATACAATTTCACATTAACATTCATATAAACCGCATGATTTCATGAAATTTCCATGGAATTCCTTGCTTCTATCTCACCTTTCAGTCCTATTTTACAAAACAAAAACATCACCATGGCAACCAAAAATAATCAATGTTACCTCTTCGTTTGTTGTATTGGCCCCTGCGATAAGGTAACTATGGTAACCACATAGTCCAAATACGGTCCACATGGAGAAAAAAGCCACTATGATTATAATGACAGTACGATGAGTTAAGGTCAATTCTAAGCTCATGCATTTAATTAACAAAAATTAAATCAAAAGGTAATGTAGTCTTGCATCAAGTCTCTGATTTTCCCCGACAAACAAGGCATTAACATGCAAAATGTCACCAGACACCTAAAATCAACCACCGTCACAAATAAGTTGAAGACTGTAGTAATATTTCACAACTTGCGGCGGTGAGATAAAAATGGGGGAGGGGTGACACAAGGGCTGGATGCAAGACCAACAATATATTGTAACATAAGTAATAAGTGACAAATTTTGTTGCAATGTGACCTGATGATATAAAATAAAGGACAACTGCAATTAAATTGACATTATCTTCTAAAAACTAAACGATGGAGACAGATGTCTGTTCAAGTATAAAGAAGGGTGTAAAACAATGCTTCTTGCAGAGGAGTAAGTGAGATTTGCGGTGATATGTAAAACAAAAGATTATTGTCATTGTGACATAATACAACTTATCATGAAACTTAACTACATTGTACAATTATGAGGGATGACAAAAGGAAATATACAGTGCTGTGGGCTATTGCTTTGATACAGGAGAAAATGGTCAAGTGACTAATTTTAAGCAATATGATTTGTTGAATTTAGTCATATGATCACTCCTCTGCAGTACAGGTATATGATGCCAAAAATTGATTTTAACATTTTAAGCAAAGATAGCCAAAATTCTTAATGTGAATGGCCCAAATGAGAATGTGAAAGCAGAAATTAGGTGAATTATACAAAGCGCTTAATAATTCAAGATTGGGAATGTAAATAATCTTGATTAGGATTGCAAAAGCCAAAACAGAAACTGCAAAAAAAAAAATTAAAAATGCTTAAAAAATAAATGTTTAAAGCTAAAATTGGAAATGTGAAAAAAACAGTAATACAGGTCAGAATGCTATAGTTATGACATAAGAGAAAAAGGAACATAAGAATATTTAACTGTTGTGGTCATTAAAGGCTTTATCTTCATTTATATTCATATATCATTTTTCATGTGCAATTTCATGTTAAGCTTTTAGTATTCATGCTAAGTGTTTTTGTCTACAATCTAATAAGCCTTAAGACCCAAGGTGGTCACATTCACTTATAACAACACAGCGGGGGAGCTTATAGGAGAGTCAGCCGGAGGATTTGAGTTCAGATCGTGATTTGAATTGACCAATTTCTTATACAGACAACCCTTTTTAAGAAAACACCTTGGAATGTGAACATGTTTAATCATTTTCATATAGTGCCCCATTGACTGTCAAATTATTAAGTTCTTATGGAAATAATGTTTAAAGTGAACACCTTTTTCATAACAATGTTCATATAATCACTTTAAATTCAGTCTTTCTTCCATAGCTTATTTCTAAGGTAAAATATGTTAGATGAAGCAGAAAGCAATTACATGAGTGCAAATGAGCAGCCATAACATAACTCTACTGGCCTACCTGTACAATTGATCCCCAGAGGATATTTTATTATCTGAGAAGCCATAATTTCATTTTCCAATATTTACTTGGGTTATTACAAAACCCCCAATAAAAGATGATTTAAGAGTCAGCTTAGAATAATTCATCCAACACCTGGTACGCGTCTCAAATTGAAAACAAAGAACTCATTCATAATAGCAACGAGGGTATATTATCATCAAGACTTCCCACCCCCCCCCCAAAAAAGTAAATTTAATATCTACAATAAAACTAACGAAATTGACAAATTTGTGTAAAAGGTCAGTTCCTGATAAAAGCTGGCTACAGGCAAGGCACATGGTCTGAAAATAGTTCCCGGTTGATGGTAAGAGAAAATGGCTGCTCAATGACTAGATTTTAAGTACCTAATTTTCTTCCATCTTAATTCAATTTCGATTGAACTCTTCATACCTGTTTTGTTTATATCTTTCTATTTCCACTTTTCACTACATTTCATGGTTTAAACGGGCGGGTGACAATGTAATCATCATCAATCATACTGGGTGTATAGCAGGAAGTCATTATGATGATAAACTTCCCACATATTCTTTATAGATGTCCTAGTGTACTTTTAATTCCAGAATATTAAGTCCAGGTTTTTATTTTCTCTGGCCAGTAAAATCAAACAATTACTAATCACATGACTTCATGCAAACCTACCCAGGGGAACATTCACTGATCTGGTGCCTATTTTCTGCTATTGCATCAAGATATGTTATGTCTCTCTTAAACATGTTTTGAATTAGCCAAGAATTAAAAGCATTAAGCTCCAAGTGTTCAGTTCAAATATCACCAAACCAATGACACACAGCCATTCAAATACCGACCATTTTACAGGTTTGACTGTAAAGACTGTAAATGTGTCAGGCTATTGTGTCTTGATTAATATACTGCAAGGACAATCAATGAGCCTAACGGAAAATCCAATAAAACCTAATCCAGTGGATTTCCCCCTGGGTCACTGACATCACCGGGATAAGATTCTTAACTACTTTAAATGATATAAAACAACAAGAAAGACTTGTTGCATAGCAATAGGTTACTCCTTCTAGGTTTCTGCAAGTAAAGTTAGTAAATTCAGCAGGGGGAAAAGGCAAACTCACAAGAAATTCAATAAAACATCAAGCACAGTACTACACACATTATCGATGCATGTAGTCTTGTGAGAAAAAACAAGATACCGAAATTAATTTATTTGGCATTTATGGTTATTTGCGGGTGATTTCCACCAGGAATTCAAATGCAGAAAGTATAAAATGACAGAGGTAAGGCTGATTATTCATACTTTAAGAAAAAATGTTCAAAATTCTGCAGGAATTGATTCAAGATTGTGCAATTTTGCACCTGAATGTCAATTCTGTTCTGCGTTTGTAGAATGCAGAACACATGCAGAATCATAGAAGGAGTGATGCGTAAGAACTGTCATGCATGCAGATTTGCTGCGGAACAAAAAAAGACTTATTGCTCAACAATGTATTAGAAAGACATGTTTAGCTACAATTGCTACACAACAAAAGAAAGGCTTGTTGCACAATGAAATAAAAGACTTGATGCATGACTCCATGAAGTCATGGCATACTTACATCTTCATTAGTTGTCTGATTTGATGTGGTGAGATAAGTGTGGAAGCCAGCCAACCCGATTATCGACCACACAGAAAAAAAGCAGACTATAGCCTCAAGTATAGTAAGCAGGGTTAAGGAGAGTTACACAGTGTATGTGGTTACAAGTGGTGCAATATGAGATGTGTGGCCGGTCATGAATTATTTCAGGGGTGTCATGGATCATTTTGGGGGTGTCATTAATCACATATTTAAACATCATTATGGGGTGTGTCATGAGAATTGGGTTTGATCAGGTTGAAAAATCAATTATTGGAAAATCATTAGGGATTAATATAGAAAGAAATGGAAATGCAGGATTTTTATTAACAATTTGAAGTCCCATTACCCATTATATAGTCCCATTATATTTAATCTTATCTAAATCAGCATTGAGGAATTGTATTAGTAGTCATCCCCATAGCAAAGCAGAAGCACCAATCTCCTGTGTTTAACTTTTACTTAGAAAATCATATTTATATATATTTAAATTACATATTTCATGTCAACTAGAACGCCGGGGATTTAATGAAGATGGAAGTGAAGATAAATTGAAGTAAAAAATATTAATCGAAACTAACATTTTTCTAATTCCTTCCTATATATAGTAAAACCCTTTCAAGTAAAAAGTTCAAGAGGTGAAAGGTTTTACTGTATGTCACAGTTTAAACCTTCATTACACAACAGAATGAAGATCTTTTTCATTTTATATATAAATATTTTGATTTTTGCCCTTATTGCACATCATGGTATTTTGTCAAGGATATCTAGCAGGCGATTCTCTCATAGCTATTAAAAAATTGTTTGGTGGCTGCGCTCCTGCAAAACAGAAAAATAAAATTATTGATCGAGAAATTTAAAATATTATCACATAAAAATGTGGGGTAATTATTAATGTTTATTCCAATGCAATATTTTTAGACCTTAAGGTAAGCCAAGTAGAATAAATAATATGAAATAAACCTTTTATATGTAGGTTTACATAATGACAAGATGAGCAAACAAGCGCCAAAACCATCAAACTCTGTCTACCTTAATTTAGTAAATCTAACAAGATATGCTCTTTGCATGAGTAATAGTTAAAACTTTTTGTAAACATAATAACAATGGTCATATATGAGCTTTAAAATTAAGAAAATCTTAATAGATCTTTTTTATAATTAGCTCTCTTATCTGCACATACTAGGTTGAAATAAATCAGATCTTTAGATTACATATCATCACGTCTTTCAAACATGATTAAACATTGTAAATATGTGATAATTAAGCTGTAGACTTAGTGACTGATATTTCATGCATGTTAGCGATACGAACATTGTGCCTAGTCATGTGAAAGGTATTCTAACCACATATTTGTTCATTCTTTTTTTTAGTTTTAGTTTCAATTTCATGAACCTAAAAAAGTTATGTTCAATACAATTTGTTTCTGTGGTCAAATTCAAGAAATGGCTGTACATGTATTTTCAATAATCAAAATTTAAATGTACAACTTCTTATTTCATTTCATATTTCAAACAATTCTCTACTCCCAGTTCAATGTTTTTATCAGATGTGATGTGGCCCCTTTTCTCATGACCAACAAGAATGTGAATTTAGACTTACTCAGAACCAGATGAGTGATCACGCAGGCGAATATGTAGATACACAGTATACTTAACGATAAGATGAATAAGTAGAAATAGCGATAATTTCTTTTTCCTACACAATTTCCCACCCATGGACAGTGGTGGTCAAAACGATCTGAAAAGAAATGAAACAATTAATGGCATGTATAAATTAAGTTCTTAAATTAAATTCTTCAGCGTTCTCTCAATTATTCCTCATGTGAGTGCAAAATTTTTAATTTACCAATACAGATACATAAAATATGGACTTCAATCAGATGTTATACAACTGGTTCAACTGGTTATAACACATGGTTGTTCAATACTGGGAGTGAGATCGCTATTATTATATATTATTCAAATGAAACATTGCAATATTTTCTCTAGTAAAAGTAATTCCCCCTCAGCTACTTAAAAGCTTGACCTTTTCACAATATAGAGCTCTTGATCATTTTTTGCCTCATGGTCATTTTTTGAATTGAGAATATGTACCTCAATGCATCAATGTATTCTGCCCTCTTCAATATGAACCTGACACAGTAGCAGACAAAACTATATTTCACTTACCTACACAATTATCGCAAACACTGCAATGTGATGCCCTTGGAGGCCGGAATATTTTACATGTAAAACAATATTTGAGCTTTGTAACTTGTCCCTTTATGATCACCTCCTTAGTACGAGGGGGTGGCCTATAGGTGGCAGGGTTGCCTGACTGGGGCACTTCTGGAAATAAAATATTTGAAAAATATAATACAAACTCTGAAATAAGATTCAACAGGGTGATGAAAACAGCTTTTATAGATCCTACATGTAAAACTTGCGGTTTATTATTCCCTAAGTGTAAAAGTAGCGTTTCAATGTCAAATAAATATTTTAGTTCTATTACAGGTCTGATGTGTCAAAAGAAGATTCTGTTCTATAATTGTTACAATTGTTCTCAGCTTGAAGATAATGTTCTCTACTTAGAAAAAATATATGATTATGTCAAACTAGTAAAGGGATTGTCTTTCAGAATAACATGGATTAAGCCCAATGCCCTCCCCCTTCCAACGCCAATGATTCTTTACCAGTATATATGTGAGTTGTCCCCAAATAACTATTTTCATGAATGACAAATTCAGTATTTTCAAGCAAACAAAACCTTTCACATACATTTGCTAATACCACAATATAAACCAAACTAATTGAATCTTTACATGGGGCCTTTAATAATTAATGTTAACATACCTATTTGGCGCTCTATGTCTGCAGCCTCATCTGGTGTGGCTCGTGGTATGACACCAGGATCACTAAAGCTCGTTCTAAACAGCGTTGACATGACGAATATGAACAATAAGCCAGCAACGACAGGAATGGCGGGAGACACATGGACTGCCAAATATCTGCAACTGGAATACACAAAACATGAAACTGTCAAATCCACTAAATAATCGTCTATTTTTCACATATAATACAGGAAAACAAGTTGCAAAGTTGAGCAGCTTTGGTACAACAAAATAGCATTCACTTGAGAGCTGTTGCATTTCAATTTTACACATAGTTAATATGTAACAGGACTTTGAAGTGTTTTACTTGCAGAGTTGTTCCATATGACAGATTTGACTATACTTGGTTATTCCAACCCAGAGCATTTACTATTACTATTATTTTTTTACTCAAACTTGGTAATCTAAACTCAGGTTTGATACTTTTTTGTGAAATGTTCTTTCCAGCATTTTGCTCAACTAGGTACAAAATTCTCATGTTTCAGTTTAAAAACAAACGCTAGAACTTTCTAAATGGTAAGTCCGAAATCTCTGGATATTTTCACCAGGATGAAAGGTGATTTGGTACATGTCAGCAACCAGTTGCTTCAATTCTGGAGAGTCTGGCATTTGTTTTAAATTCCAGTATTTTTTCTCATGAATATACTTCTCAACAGAGAATATTTTCAACATGGCCTCTGCAAAAGGTTTTTCCTCCACAGTGTGTGAGTCAAATCCTGGGAGTAAAATAGAACCTTTTAAAATCATGCCATCAAGTATGTCATGAAAATAGGCCAAAATTATATATATTATATATTATATACACGAAAACTGTGAGTTGAGGACTATAATAACTCATCAGGGATTCATTTAACATTATAGATTTTATTGTTTACAGCTTGTTAGACTTTGTTAGAGTTTGTTTACAAGGAAATTATTTTTTAATGTATTTCCACACGTGCAAAGTGGTTGTAATGATGTACCAAGTTTAAGAGTTACTGGGTGCAACAATTGCTGAAATCTGAAAATCACCTAATACTCTGTTGAAACTCTGTTTGCAATCTTTTCTGTTGAAAACCTGTTTGCATTCTTCTCTCTTGAAAACTCTGTTTGCACTTTTACAAAAATGTGTTAAACCAGAACAACGGCAACGCCAAAGCGTAGCGAATCCCATCGAACGGAAATGGCTGGCATTTTTACAAACAAAATATATAGCAAATATCATAAAATATCACACATAAGAAAGGCCACCATTTTCAAAACGGTTGCTCACTAGTCAAGTTGTCATCAGAAGAAGTAATATGCTATTTAGTAGCCACATATAAAAATTTTAAAAAATCGCACACACATACTAGTTTCTTGAAACATAGGATAATTTCCTATTAGGGCTGATGTGAAAAAAATATGAACAAAATCGCTCCACTACTTTTCAAGTTACAGCAAAAATCGTAAAATGACGTGCAAAGGCAGCCATTTTTTAAAATGGCTGCCATGTATTTCTTCTGTATTTACATTTCTAGCTTAATCAATGTCTTATATAACTTTTTTACATTTAAAACATATTGTTATTACAGTTTTATATGCAGTACCTAAATTATTGTAAAATCGGCACTAAAATGGCCGCCATTTTTAAATGGGTGGCCATTTTGAAAATCAGTCTTCGAGCAGAACTTCTACCCCCATTGGGTATGTGTGTACAAAATATGAACAAAATCAGGTCAACTGTATTTGAGTTATTGCCCGGACGGACGGACAGACAGACGGACGGAAGGACGTACGTACGGACGGACGGAGGCGTTCCCTATATCCCTCCGAACTTCGTTCGATTGGATAATTATGATTGTTCATTCCTGAGGATATCACTGGTTTATAAGAATCTAATGCAAGAGAACCAGATCCCCCAGTTTTTGCTCTAATTACAGCCTCTGCTCAATGACTCAGTATATAATGTAGAGTCAATTCATGGCTTCACTCACTTCTGCAGCAATTACTCTAACCAATTCTGCATTATATATTGCCACTAATAGTAATAGGCAACCCTTTCCAGATAGTAGCCCAACAAAAATATATGTCATATCCAAACAACAGGCACGTAGGTAAGATTTGCCAAGGGGGGTTCACTTTTTTATAAATTCCAGGGGAAACCCCCCAACCTGAACCTGAACCTATGATAGAATCTGTAGGCACTACCCCGGGGGCACTACCCTTGAGGGTTACAACATCTCTACTATCTCTGAAAGTCTCAATAGTGTTAGATAAAGAAGGGCTCTGGTTAATCAGAATCGGGCATTATACTCACTTGAAATTTTGAAAATAAAATAAACCATGAAAAATCTGCTGTAAGTATTTTGACCAATTTTGGACGATAGTGAACATGGAGTTAACATACTAATATTATCTATAATTTTGAGAAAATATGTAGAACAGGTCTGACAATCATGAGCATTTTCTTGTACAGTAATTGCATCAAAGAAGTCCATTACAATAATGTTGCCATTTCCTTGGAAAACATTAATGGCATCCCCACATCTACTATCTCTTAAAGACCTCTGGCTTGAATAAAACAAAGAACGACTCTGTAAATTAGAACGAGACAATAGTACATTCTCATAAACAATCGTAAATTAAATATGACATTGCATTAACACGTAACTGTGTTAATCCGATGGGCTTAATAGAATGAAAACATAAGTTATTTAGTTGATGATGTCATGTTTCAGTGCCATATGAGTCACATATCCAGGCCTAATAAACATGAAAAAAATATATGTATACTCTGTAATAAGACCTGTAATGTAGACTTCAACATAAATATTTTATAAGAAAAAGTGTAATTATTTGTATAAATTTTTATATCATATATTAATTCTCAAATATAAAATATGATTTTAGATAATTTTCATGTGCATCTTCGGCAGATGAGAACTTATATCAGAGCACTTAGCTTGCATTGAGCAAGAATGTGTTTTTGTTTTTCCACACTTATAGTTTGCATTGATCAAGAATGTGTTTTTTCACACTTATAGCTTGCATTGAGCAAGAATGTGTTTTTCCACACTTATAGCTTGCATTGAGCAAGAATGTGTTTTTCCACACTTACAGCTTGCATTGAGCAAGAATGTGTTTTTTCACACTTATAGCTTGCATTGAGCAAGAATGTGTTTTTCCACACTTATAGCTTGCATTTGGCAAGAATGTGTTTTTCCACACTTATAGCTTGCATTGAGCAGGAATGTGTTTTTCCACACTTATAGCTTGCATTGAGCAAGAATGTGTTTTTCCACACTTATAGCTTGCATTTAGCAAGAATGTGTTTTTCCACACTTATAGCTTGCATTGAGTAAATCAGTGTTTTTAAACCTAAAACTGTTGCTTGTATTCAAAATGTAAATTGCATTTGTAGAGGCTCCATGCAAAGGATTTGAGTTTTCCATAATTGTAACAACAAAAGCTCAGGTAATTAAATTCTCAAATAATCAGTATAAAACCTTTTACTGTAAATATGATACCTATTAAAACCTATTATAATCAGTATAAAACCCATAACTGTATATATGGTACCTATTAAAACCTATTATAATCAGTATAAAACCCATAACTGTATATATGGTACCTACTAAAACATATCATAATCAGTGTAAAACCTGTTATTTTCTGAATACCAAAAGAATTATTGAGAAATAAGCTATTAATCATTCCAAGCTTTTGATTTTACGAACGCTTCAGTGTTGTGATGTCATAATTAAAGTAATGTAAGTAATCCATTTCATTAACTCCTGTGATCAAGCAGATATCTAATGAAACTTTTTTGGAAGTGCAATTTTTTTGCTTTAATAAAAGGGATGGTCTCGAAGAAATGCGCATCTTTCATGATGAGCCAAATACTAAACAAAATCGTTGATATGTGGAAGTTCATGAGAAATATATGAGAGGAGCCTTATGCCTGGGTCACATTTGCTCGGATCCATTGGCCGGCGCCTGGACGATTGAGTGTTTTGTTCAATATTGTATTTAATTTGAACAAAATACTCAATCAGCCAGGCGCCATAGTGAAAATCAGAGCAAATGTGACCAAGGCATAAGTAAGTATACAATTCCATATCCGTATCTTTCAAGGGAAATATTTTGATTACTTTTCCAATGTTTTTGTTAACATCAGCTGAATCAGTGCTATAACTATTCTCCACTTAAACAAATGAATTAATATAAACCTTACATCTACATTCTACATATCCTTAACCTCCGAGGTATACTTAACTTGGTTCCGTTATGCTCTTTTAGAGATTGAAAAAAATTACCAGTTCTTGGAAAACGTGCAAAACTTACTTTAAGCAGGTTTATTTATTGAATTTGTAATTTCTGTAGAAATAGAAATGCTATGGTTTAACATGCTCATTCTATGACTGTTTAATTGATTTCTAGCTAGTTACACATCTGCTCTTTTTAGTGACTCTATTGACTGATGATTTTGTGACTTCCTACTGAACTATCATGGCTTGCTTTATCAATATAAAGTTTTCTTATGAAAGGACCTGAAAAACATCACTGTTCAATATGTGGAAGGTGCTCTACTAAGGTTTCTATTTCTATTACAGATCTATCAGGTCTATCAATTTCTATCAGAGATGCGGAAATACAAAGGCAAATGATATAGACTAACTCCTATAGAAATTCCTATAGAAATCAATTCTAATCAAGGTCAGATCTGATTCTGTGTACTCTTCGTGTCACCACCTGCTATTTGTTACAGACAGCGAATGCCAAACACCAACCACTGAATGCCTAACACCAACTACCAAACACCATTCACAAAAAAGTTAAAAACCATAACAATATGTCACCACTTTTGGTGGTGACATAAAATGACATTGTTTATCATGATGGGCACTTAAATCCAAAATAAAAGTAATTCATTAACACAGCTATCAATATTGACAGTATTTGAAAACATTTTTTGTATTTATCTATTCAATCTAAACTTATGAAATACTTGATAAATACAATATTAACAAAGGTTACATACAGTATTACATGTATGTACACACCCATTTCTTGCAAGGTTTTATTTTTCTTAAATCAATCTTGTACATGTATTGCCTTATAATTCCCTTTCAAGAAACCATAGCAAAGGGTACTTCATCCAA